AAATATAATTTCACCAAAGAAAGTTTATTGGGTATTGGACTAGTCTTTCCATATCCCTGGGTCAGATAGGCTTTTGTGGGCTTTTCTGGGAACCTAACTCTATTTGTAAGGTTGTTCATGTGGGAAACAGTGATTTAGGTCTCAAACAGCTAATTAAGAAGTGAACTTTTGACAATGAAAATCCAAAAATTAGAGACATCTGACATGACACCAGAGAAAATTGGGTAAGGTAAAGTACCTCTTTGGAAATCTTGAATTGGTCAATAACCATTGAGGCTTCATTGCCTGAGATCAGGATATTATCTGAGAAAAAACCCATTGTCAACCATATTTATTTATTCATTAATCTATTCTGCAAAATATTTGATCTCCACCTATGTGCCAAGGAGTAGTGTATGTGCTAGAGGTGGAGCAGTAAATAAAATGATATCCCTGGCCTCAGGGATCTTATATTCTTCTGGGAGAATGTACATAAAGTAAAAATTCTATAAATCATTTCCCTGTTTCATATATGAATTATGTTGTGAGTTGTAATACAAATAAAATTTGCAGCATATTATTCTGCCCTTGTAATACAGCATTATAGGTTTTTGGGCTGATTAATAATAAGCACTTTGATAGCAATTAGTATGAGCCAGGTTCTGTCCTAAGTGTTTCGTCAGTATGTTAGCTCATTTAATGTTTATAGGAACCCTATAAGATATGATTAATATTATCCTCATTTTATAGAGGAGCAAAGTGGGACACAGAGAGATTAAGTCCAGGGTCATTTAGTGAGTATTAAAGTTAAGATTTGGGCCACCACAGCTTAACCCCAAAGCATCTATGTTTTTAACCATTGTACTCTACTATCTTAGCTTTTAAAATTGATGTTGTGACAGATTTTCATATCCTTCATGAAATTTTCTTGGTGGTTATCACAGTGATCACTTATCTAAAGCATTTTTATTTCTTTAACGTTCTAGGTTATTTTGTCATGTTTCATACTAAACAAACTACTTCCTCTGTTTCTGATGCTAAACTAAATAAAATACAAATTGTATCTAGTATCATCCTTTCTATCAATTCATATTTATCTTTAGCATTAGGTTTAGTTTTGTATACCAGAATCCAAAATAAGTTGTTAAAATGTTGTTTTAGATCTGCTTTCTCTAACTTCTAAAAAAGACAGAATTTAGTAGCAAAATTGTTGGGTTTCAGCTTATTTCATTTTTCAAAATAAAATTGCCAATAAATAGTAAAAGGAAGAAAAAAGGGAAGTAGAATAAAAGTCCTGAACTCTAAAAGCCAGATCGTTTCTGTAGCATATAGACTTGCAGAATTTTGTCTAAGGGGTTAGTAAATCTGATTTTACTTTACTTATTATGTCTATATGCTTGATATTATTTTTAAATATTGATTTATTGATCTCTCGTCTTTCTTTTTAGTATACTGTGTGGAATTTTGTTCCAAAAAATTTATTTGAACAGTTCAGAAGAGTGGCAAACTTTTATTTTCTTATTATATTTTTGGTTCAGGTAAGCTTTATTACTCAATATTAAGTTTGTAAACATAGTTCCTAAAAATATGTCTTAGAACAAAGAAAAATTATGTTTTGTTAATCATTTGACCATGTGACCATTTTTTCTGCAGTGCTTCTGCATTGTATTCGGTGAATACAAGTCATATCTAGATTTCTAAAAGAAATAGCCTATAAACTTTAAGATCAATTGTATATTGTTTCATCAATAATGTACTGTAGTACTTAGATTAACCATAATCTTAGCTAAGAATGTAGTCTAACGTCTTTCAGATATTCTGCCTCAGAACATAAATATTTAGGCTTTTAATATATAGTGCATGTTTTTGGTACGTTTCTGCCTATAGAATAATCTTTGTACAAAGTAAACTTTTCTTTGGCTTTTAATTTTTTAATTTAAATTTAACTTAAATGTAAGTTATTTAAAAGAATTGTAAGTTTTAAGTATCCCTGTGGGTATAGATTTTTTTTCCAGGAGACAATTTTCTTTGCTTAAATCTGTGTCTATTATAGGCTGTTAGACAGTTTCTTAATTTTCACCCTGTGCTTAAAAAATTATATATATATACACATACACACACACACACATATATAAAATCAAGAGAACAGCCCATGAAACATGAGTATAAATCATTTTAAAATAGTGATTGCCATTTTCCTTTAAAGAAGTTATTCTTTTCTGATAAAACTTTGCAATTCCAGTGTAGCATTGAATGTATAAAACTCTGAACTCTTCTCTCAGTAGAACCTGGGATTTCAAATGAAAAATTGAGACTTGTCAAATATTCATTTTAATACCTTAGGGAACATTTGCTTTAAAAAAAAAATTGCTCTCCTTCATGAACAGAGAAGGAACTTCTGATTTTCTGCCCATAGACTGTTAGCTTCGTTTTCTTGGAAAAGCAAGAAATGTATACTAACCATATCCACGTAACATCCATACGTTTGTGAAATCACTAGCTAAGATGAATTCAACTTGTCTGGGGAATAGAACAAATTTAATTGGCCTATCTGGAGTAAAGGAACATCATTTTCCTAGTTATCTCCCTCTGGCTCTGTTGGATGTAACAAAATCACTTATAGAAAAAAATTCTTTCCATAGTCCCATTCCTAGTTTTCTTTCCCTAGTGTAGATATCATTCTGAATCCAAGGGTAAAAATTGCTGACAGACTTTTCAGCATTTATCAGGATGTACAAAGAAATGTGAAATGAGATCTGAGTAGCTGTAGTTCCACTCCTTGGCGAATATTGAAGAACTTAAGGACTCTTTGTGTTTAAGTTACTGAGTCCAGTCTAGCCATGTATGTGGAAAGGCAATAGATTTAAATAATCTTCCAACCCCACATAATAGCCAACAAAGTGAAGTTGTAAAATTGTCAACTGAAGTATACTCGCTGTGTAATGTGAAATTTTACATGTTAATAGTATGATGTGCACAATATAAAAATATTCTCTATTCTTTTTTATAAATCTAGCTTATGATTGATACACCTACCAGTCCAATTACCAGTGGACTTCCATTATTCTTTGTGATAACAGTAACAGCCATAAAGCAGGTATGAGATACTTTCTCTTTTTATTTTCCTCCAAGTCATTTAGAAATTGCTAAATATTTCCACTCCAAAGAACATTTATTGTTGTGAAAATAATTTCTGTGAGAAAGCAGCAAATTTGTCTGGTATGTAGTAAAATTAAACTGAATTAGCCACTCTGTTATATTTCAGGTACCTGGTGACTCATGGGATGATTAACATCATTAAAATATGTTGTTCCCTTGACAGAGCTAGAAAGCATCCAAAAACAAGTATTGTATATGTAGAAATCAATTTATATATGAAATAGATTTCTTAATTATTATCTTTGTAGAGTTTGGTGATATTTAAAGGAAATACAATTCAAAAAAGATATGTTTATAGAGAGCAGGGTATATACTTCTGGTGTGAACATTTGTGAGTAAAAATTATGTAGTTCAAAAATTAGGGTGTTGTGGCACATACCTGTGGTCCCAGCTACTCGGTGGGCTGAGGCAGGAGGAACGCTTGAGCCCAGGAGGTGGAGGCTGCAGTGAGCCATGATTATGTCACTGCACTCCCACCTGGTTGACAGAGTAGCACCCTGTCTCAAAAAAAAAAAAAAAAAAAGGAATCCAGAAGATGCTTTTGCTGTAAGCCAGAAGATGCTTTGCTAGTCATACAGTTTTCAAAGAGAAAATTTGATCCACAAAGATTTTCTCCTTAACTTAAAACAAAATTTTGAGACTCAGGGTTTTCTCTTTTGCAACATCTATTCCTAACTTTTTCTCATTTAATAAATACACAGAATACTTCCATACATTGTTCAGATTTATGTATCTATTTAATGCTATAGATCAATAGAACAAATTTTGGAAAAATTGTAAAAGTGAAAGTTACCATGTTCCAACCTTTCTTTCTTGTCTTCTCCCCTTTTAGTCTACCTTTTCCCTTTGTACTTCTATCAAAATAGGAAAAGGCTCCATTATCAATTACTTACACTATAATATGAATGAGGTTGTCAGTTGTTTGCTTGCTTTTAGGTTCTCCCAACTGTATTTACATATTAAGTCTTCTCTCCAGTTGTGTAATGCAAGATACAGTGCTCTAGGAAATAAGTCTTTGCCCTCCGTGATTCTAAAACCCATGAAATAGGAAGGTAAGACCAAATATAAAAATAATAAACCTGCACGTTATGCACATGTACCCTAGAACTTAAAGTCTAATAATAATAAAAAATAAATTAAAAAAAAAAATTATGGTTCCGTAGAGTAGTAGTAAAATCCAGGGAGCTGAGGCTAGCTATTTAGAGGAGGAAGGGAACACTTCATTTTCATCTGGATGATCAGAGATGATTTTGTGGAGGAAATATTATTTTTACAAAAATTTAAGAATTTATTCATGTTAAGGGTCATACTTCAAATCTGGGTAAAATATCGGACAATAAATTGTGATGTGATAATCATTTGAATATTTAGAAAAAATAGTTGGATTCATACTTCATACCCATATAGCAAAATAAAATACATTTGGATTATTAATGTAACTACAGAAGTAGTAGAAGTAAATACAGATGAAATGTTATCTCATTTTCAATTTGGGAATTAATCAGTTAATCTACTGTTGTAAGCAAGGAAAGAAATCATATAGGAAAAATAAAATGTGAGTGTTTATAAAAAGTCTGAATAATATTAAAAGGAAACTGAAACATTTGTGTTATGTATAACAAAGGGCCTGTGCCCTTAATTTTATTTATTTATTTATTTTTTTTGGAGACAGAGTCTCATTCTGTTGTCCAGGGCTGGAGAACAGTAGTGCAATCACAGCTCATTGCAGCCTTGACCTCCCAGGCTCAGGTGATCCTTCCACCTCAGTCAGCTAATTTTGTATTTTTTTGTAGAGACGAAGTTTCACCATGTTGCTTGGTCTGGCCTCCAACTTTTGGGCTCAAGCAGTTCTCTCGCTTCAGCTTCCCAAAGTGTTGTAATAATAGGCGTGAGTCACCATGCCCAGCTGATCTTAATTTTAAAAGATACCTTACCAAGAGCACATACCTTTCTCTTCAACATAAATAAGTGAAAAGGCATAGATCATCTCCAAGAAAATAAATGCAAATTGCTGACAAATAGATGAAAATATGAATTCTTATGGAGGAAATATTATTAAGATGAGTTTAGGAATATGGGCAAAATGACAGTTGATGAAGAAGATGAGGTAGAAATGAATGACCTGGGCAAAGGCCCAAGTGCAAGAAGAGACAAGACCTATTTTGGGGAATTGTAAGTCGAACTAATGTTTGATTGTATTTAGGAAAGTACTACAAGATAATAGAAGTGTAGTTTGGTTCTAAATTAAGGAAGCCAGAAGATGCTTTGCTGTAAGCATTGAGAATCACTGAAGGGGTTTTGAGCAGGATAGTGAATCAAGACAATGCTTTGGGAAGATTAATCTGGCAGTAATGTGTAGGATGGATTAGAATTTATGAGCTTCTATTAAAAAAAGATAATGTTTGAATTATTGCTCTGCTATTAATGTCATCTGACTGTAAAGGAAAGTGTGCTTTTGACAGTTTCAGAAAAAATATTTTGACTCTCAGTTAAATTTCTCTAAAATGACATACTGCAACTTAAATAAGGCCAACATAATTTAGGTGTCTTAAGAGTACTTTCCCACAAGGTTTCCACCTGAAAACAGTATACCTTCAAAATAGTCTTTCATATTTTGCTTTTTATTTTGTAATTTCTTAATATTTTAAAAATAATAGATGTACATTTTTGTAAGGGAAATAGCACAAAATAGCATATAGTAAATCTTAGACTCCTAATCCCCAGTCTTCTAGTTCTCCTACCCAGGGAGCAATTATTTGTAAGTTAGTCCAGATTACCTATACAAAGTGTTCACATAGGCAAGCATATCTTTTCACAAATGGTAACGGAGAACAAAACCTGTTCTGTACCTTATCTTTTTATTCACTTATTACTCTCTCTTAGATATCATTCCATTATCTATACTTGTCCTGTATCTCTTGAGTTCTTGAATTTTCGTAAAATGGCACAAGAAGTCTTTTCCATTTGAAAAACATCACCATTCCTTAATATTTAATCAAAATATTCTTTGTGAAATGCCTATGTCTGTTTCCTTCCTAATGATGATCCATACAGGCTAACGTATTTTTGTTAAGCACAGTTGACCCTTGAACAGTGCAGGGGTTAGGGAAACCCCTTGTGCAATTGAAGATTCATGTGTAACTTTTGACTCTCCCAAAACTTAACTACTGATAGTCTGTTGTTCGTCGGAAGCCTTACCAATATCATAACAGTAGTTTATCACATATTTTGTATGTTATATGTATTATATACTGTATTCTTAAAGTCAACTAGAGAAAAGAACATGTTATTAAGAGGATCATAAAAAAGACAATGTATTTACTATTCATGAAGTGGAAATGGATCGTCTTTGAGGTCTTCATCCTTGTCTTCACATTGAGTTGACTGAGGAGGAAGAGGAGAGGTGGGTCTTTCTGTCTCTGGGTGGCAGAGGCACAAGAGATGGAGGAGGTGGATAGGGAGGAAGATAATTTAGGAACACTCAGTATAACTTTTAGTGAAAACAGTCCATGTATGAGTGGACCTGTGCAGTTCAAACCTGTGTTATTCAAGGGTCAACTGTACTTATTATAATTCTGTCAGTCTACTGTTTAAGAAAGTAAAAGAACACAATCTTGGTTCCAAAAATCTGCTCATTTTTTTCTACTTTTTGTCTGTAACGCTCTGTGAATTTATGCTTTATGATTAAAGTATCATTTATACGTAGAAACAATAGAATTTAGTGATTGAGTAGATGTTAGGAAAAGGGTAGGAATCAAGAATGACTCCCCAGATTTCTGGCAAGAACAGCTTGGTAGATGGTGATGTCATTTGTCAAGATGGGAAACACTGGACATGCAGCACATTTTCAGGACATCATCTGTTTGGTTCTGAATATGTTCAAGACATTTATGAGACAATAAAATTGAGATATATTAATAAAGCAATTAGATATTCAAGTTTGGAGTTCAAAAGAGATATATGGCTGGAGATACACATTTCGGAATTACCAGCATATTTATGCTATTTGAAGACACAGGGATAGAAGAAATCTCTTAGTGCGAAAGAGAAATGTGAGAAAAGGATCCATAAAGGTGACATAGAAGGAGCCTCCATAAGGACATTTAGAAGAAATAGGCCAGGCGTGGTGGCTCACGCCTGTAATCCCAGTACTTTGGGAGGCCGAGGCAGGCGGATCACGAGGTCAGGAGATCGAGACCATCCTGGCTAACACAGTGAAACCCCGTCTGTCCTAAAAATACAAAAAATTAGCTGGGCATGGTGGCCGGTGGTTGTAGTCCCAGCTACTCGGGAGGCTGAGGTAGGAGAATAGCATGAACCTGGGACGCGGAGCTTGCAGTGAGCTGAGATCGCACCACTCCACACTCCAGCCTGGGCGACAGAGCGAGACTCCGTCTCAAAAAAAAAAGGAAGAAATAACTAGAGGTCCTTTGAAAGCCAGGAAAATGTATATAACAAAAAAGAACCAAGTGTTTCCAGTAGGAACAAATGTCAAATACCTATGAGCGTATGCAGCCAAATAGCCTAATGTGATTCTGGAATGTAGTGTTTTAGGGAAGATTTTTTCTTATTTGATAAAAGTATCTTCAAATTATACTGAAAAATTATTTTTTACCCTTTGGATATTTACAGGGATATGAAGATTGGTTACGGCATAACTCAGATAATGAAGTAAATGGAGCTCCTGTTTATGTTGTTCGAAGTGGTGGCCTTGTAAAAACTAGATCCAAAAACATTCGGGTATGCATCTGGTAAATAATGGAAATCAGTTTTATCTTGATATCACAGGACATAATTCTAATCTTGATATTACGTTTTAATTAAAAGCCTACTTTCCTATGCTAAAATACTGTGATAGGCTGCTTATTTAGAGCCCAATAAAAGTAAGTCCTTGCCTTTTAAAATTTATAAATTCACTCTTCCCCAAAATTCTTTATAGGTGGGTGATATTGTTCGAATAGCCAAAGATGAAATTTTTCCTGCAGACTTGGTGCTTCTGTCCTCAGATCGACTTGATGGTTCCTGTCACGTTACAACTGCTAGTTTGGATGGAGAAACTAACCTGAAGGTTTGCTTGCATATGTTTGAGTATTGCTCTTGGTGAACAAAATGTCTTTGAATTATAATTATACTTTCCTTTGGTTAAAGTAGTAAAGTTTGACTAGATTAAGGGGAAGTTTTTAAAATTACTATTTCAAAAATTAAAAGATTTTAAGAAAGAATTGATGTTATATCTTTATTTCAAGGGTAGCCTCACATGGGTTTAATCCAAGTTAAAAACAAAGTGTTTTTAGGAAAAATACAATCTTTTACTATTTGTAGTACTTTTAAAAGATAAGGGGCAAATTTTTATTTTCTGTTTTCAGAGTGTAATCAAAGGTGAAAATTCACAATTTTTCCTATTAAATTACTTATGATAAAGTAATAGTGACTATGCACACAGACTTAATTTCCTTATGTGCAGATGGCCTCTGTAGACAGAGAATGATAGCTGCCTTTGCCCCTTGTTTATTTTACATGTTTCTTTCTCTTCTGTTGTCTAGCTGAGTGATCTCAAGTACAGTGTGCCATTACTTTACCTACAAAAGAGATTTGAAATAACTGATATCAAAGGTCCCATTTGGATCTGAAAACTCTACAATTTTATTCATTTTTTTCAGACACATCTGGCAGTTCCAGAAACAGCATTATTACAAACAGTTGCCAATTTGGACACTCTAGTAGCTGTAATAGAATGCCAGCAACCAGAAGCAGACTTATACAGGTATGGTGTGATGTTCAGTATACTTATTTTAAGTCCTACTTACAGACCTCATTTTTAAATAACCATAAACATAAAATGAAATCTTTAGCTAATTGGAGACAATATTTGTGGGGTGGGGTGGTGGGGGATGCAATTAATGGTGAAAAAAAACTAAGAGCAGAAATTGCTAGAATTCTAAGCAAAGGATAATAGTTCAAAGCCAGAGTTTTTATTCACAAGTTTCTTCACATTACCTTCTATTTTGCTTTGAACTGTCATGCTCACTTTGTAGCTATCACAGTAGTTATAGTAGACATAAGATTATTTTCTTAGAAGAAAATAATGATTTTTTTGGTAAGCTCCATGAAGCCAGGGACTATGTCTTTGTTTTTACTACTATAGAGGATACTACTTTTAAATTAGAGGACACTACTTTTAAATTAGAACCTTATAAAGTTTTCAATATTTTACTTATATGTAGCACATAATGAAGTAAAAAATAATTTTCTATAAATATTATATTTAACAGCTATGAGTTTCTCAAAGACAGAAGCTACGATTCGTCTTATCTATCACAATGAACACAAAATAAAAAATCTGTTTTTCTAGTTTGTTAGATTTTTAAAGATCTTGTTTCTGAAAGGAGAGAAAGGAACAGAGGAACTAACTTCTTTTAACATTACGGTTTGCTAAATACAGTGTTGTATACCTTCAGTGATCATCTTCAGTTGTATACCTTCAGTGATCATCTTCAGTAATCCTGCCAGTTATATGTGGGCTGTGGAATGAAAACAACTTTTTATTACTAAAAAATTAAATAATAAACTAAGTTCATTTTTACTCAATAAATGGTGGTAGACTATAAATTACAACCACTTCGTAAAAATCACCCTCAGCTTCTTGTCATATTATATATCGCCCCCTGTTGGTTGAAATGTTTCAAAAGTCTTTAGCCGTTGGCTTTTCCAAACTTCTTAGGTATCTTTTTTTTGGATCCATCTTTATAATGGAGGTTTTCTCTATGTGATGTTATAAAAATTGTATACTTTCATCAAAGTCAAATGCAGTGTAGAATTTGCCAATTAACTAAAAACTTTGGAATCATATGCTTAAAAAGCACTTGATAGACTGTAAGACATATTTAACTGTGAAGGATGAAGAATTTTAAAATTTCTATATTGCTGCTATATCCTGGTCTGAGGCAATGGCAAATTATTTAAAAATTATTAAAAACCAGAAAATGGACAACTAAGAACTAAGCAAGCATAAGATCAATATGAGATTAAGTGTAACTAATGCTTTGGTATATGGTTTTTACATTATCTTGGAATATGGGGAGAAAGTTTGAAAAAAAATTTTTAAATAAACAGTTTCTCTTATTGGAAGTATATGTTTTGTTTTAAATACAAGTAAAATGTAATCATTGCAACAGGCTTTTATAATAGAAAGAAAACTCGTAATTATATCACTATTTAAAATCTTTGATTGCCATTTTTATTCATTCATTCATTTAACAAATTACTGTTTAGCTAAATCTGTGTGCTCATTGTGATAGGTGAATAAGATGAATAGGAATAGTTTCCCTCCTTGAGGAACTCATAGGAGTTAGAGACTATTTATATAAAATTATATCTTTCATTTTATTATGTACTTGTAACACATATATGTGCTATATGTTATATATATATTCATATATATTACATGTGAAATACTACAAACATTTTAAATGTCCAAGTAGGAAAATGCTTAGATAGGTATATATATAGATATTTAAAATCTTTTTCAAGAATTGAATGATATAGGTACATACTGAAATATAGTATTAAATGAAATAAGATACAAAGTTGGGCCTCTCATATGATCCCAGTTATGTAAAAATAATGTGTGTGCAATAGCAAAGACATGGAATCAACCTAAATGCCTGTCAGTGGCAGATTGGATAAGGAAAATGCAGTAAATATACACCACAGAATACTATGTAGGCACAAAAAAGAAAGAGATCACATCTTTTGCAGGAACATGGATAGAGCTGGAGGCCATTATCCTTAGCAAACTAACGCAGGAACAGAAAACCAAATACTGCATGTCCTCACTTATAAGTGGGAGCTAACCGATGAGAACACATGGACACAAGGGAACAACACATACTGGGGCCTACTGGAGGATGGAGGATATGAGGAGGGAGAAGAGCAGAAAAAATAACTGTTGGGTACTAGGCTTAGTACCTGAGTCACAAAATAATCTGTACAACAAACCTCTGTGACACAAGTTTACCTGTATAACAAACCTGCACATGTACCACTGAACCTAAATGTTTAAAAATAAATAAATGTGTATATATATATATATACTAAATAGGTAATTAGGTGACAAGATGGAATAACTGATAGCTACAGAAAGAAAAACCTGAAGGAATTGTAGATGAAAATTTAGTAATATTCTCGTGGTAGGATTTCTGCTGATTTTTAATCATCTTTTTCTTTTCCATATTTTTAAATACTTCTTTATTTTATTTATTTTTTAAACAGAGTCTCGCTCTGTTGCCCAGGCTGAAGTACAGTGGCACGGTCTCAGCTCACTGCAACCCCCATCTCCTGGGCTCAAGCAATTCTCCTGCCTTAGCCTCCCAAGTAGCTGGGATTATAGGCGTGTGCCACCACACCCTGTTAATTTTTTTGTATTTTTAGTAGAGATGGGGTTTCACCATGTTGGCCAGGCTGTTATCAAACTCCTGACCTCAAATGATCCGCCCACTTCGGTCTCCCAAAGTGCTGGGATTACAGTTGTGAGCCACCCCACCCAGCCTAATATTTCCTTTAAGAATGTGGATTGGTTTTGTGATTTTAAAAAGTATTTTCCATTGTACTGAATGGTATTCTTGACTTTTTAAAAAATATTGCAGGAAGCTTAATTAATGATCATTTTAAATGGCTAATGAATAGTCCAAGTGCATGTACTAGATAGAACCTAACCATTCCCCAACCTTTCCATACTTGACTCTTTTCATTGTTTTGCTATTACAAATACTGTATGGTACCTTATTACAAATAAAATTCACCAATTCAAAATCTAGTGGTTGAATAGTTCATTACTTTCTCTTCTTTGATGCAATTTGCTAACTTGTCTTCCAGGACACTCCCGTCTCTTGGTTTACCTCCTACCTCACTATTCCCTCTGTCTCAGTCTCCTTTGCTAATTTTTCCTCTTGTCCCAGACTTCTTTCTTTTAGAGTGCCCCAGGACTTGCACTGTTTCCTTCCCTACCTATACCTTTCACTATCTACCCTCACTCCCTTGGTGATCTCACCCAACCTCCTGGCTTTAAAGACTAGCTACGTGCTGCTGACTGTCGGATTTATTTCTCTATCCCAGACTTCTTTCCCAAACTTCAGCTGCCTGTTCCACAGTTCCACCTGGATATTTAGTAGAAATCTCAAATTAATAAGCTGAAAACGAAACTGCTAATCTTCCTGAAAGGAAGCTTTTCTACCAGCGGTCTTTCTCATCTCAGTTGATACAGTCCATCCTTCCAGTAGCTCAGGCCAGAAACCTTGGAATCAGCCATGACTTCTCACATCTCCTCTCCCTTCACCTTTCTTCACCTCCTTACTCACATCTCACCCCAACCCATCAGAACATTCTGAAGGCTTACCTTCAAAATACATCCAAAATCTGACCATCTTTTCCTAGTTTTGTCTGAACCAGTACCATCTCCTGCCTGGATTACTGCTATTTTATAGTTGGTTCTCACAAAAGCAGTCATAGTGTTCCTTTTTTAATATAAGTCAGATCATGTGACTCTTCTGCTCAAACCCTGTACTGGCTCACTGTGTCACTTAGAGTCAAAGCCCATATCTCTATAACCATCTCTAAGATCTGCCCCCATCCCCCATCCTCGACCTTTCTTCTCTGCCCTGTTTGCTATCCTTCACCCTCTAGCTCATCCTCCACATACACTGACCTCCTTACTTTTCCTTGAACATACCATGTCTACTCCCACCTGGTCACTAGACCTAGCCCTTGTCTGATGCTTGAGTAACACCTTCAAGTCTGCTTAAATCACCTCCTCAGTGAGGCCTACCTTAACTACTTAGTACTGCTCCCTGATCCTTCTTACTCTGTTCTGCTTTTCTGTTTTCATAATACATAATATTTTCTAGTACACTATGTAATTTACTTTTTTATTATGTTCCTTGCTTACCATCTCTCCCACTAGAATGTAAACTGTAGAGCAGGCATCTTTGTGTATTTGTTCACTGATGGATCTCAAGCACCTAGAACAATATCTGTCATCTTGCAGGCCTTACTGTTTATTTGTTGACAGTTGATACAGTAAACATTCTTGTATACCCTTTGATTGAATTACAGGTTGAATATCCCTAATCCACAAACTCAAAATCCAAAGTGCTCCAGATTCTTGCCATTTTGAAAACATTTTTTATTCATTACCTCATCATAGCTGGAGTAGAGATAGCAAGAATTCTAAATTTTTTAAAGCTTAAGGACCGATAAGTATTTTAAAATAATTTATAGCAAGAATATTGGACCATTAATATATACAAATGGTTGATTTTTGTTTCATATATAAGAATGGTTCAGGCCGGGTGCAGTGGCTCATGCCTGTAATCCCACCACTTTGGGAGACCAAGGTGGGCAGATCACGAGTTCAGGAGATTGAGACCATCCTGGCTAACATGGTGAAACTCCGTTTCTACTAAAAATACAAAAAATTAGCCGGGCGTGGTGGTGGGCGCCTGTAGTCCCAGCTACTCAGGAGACTGAGGCAGGAGAATGGCGTGAACCCGCAAGGCAGAGCTTGCAGTGAGCCGAGATCGCGCCACTGCACTCCAGCCTGGGCGACAGAGCGAGACTCCGTCTCAAAAAAAAAAAGAAAAAAAAGAATGGTGCAAAAAACCAGCCATTGATATCATAAGTGATATTATATAATTTTGTAATATGGTGAATTTTTTGGTAGATTCATGGGACGAATGATCATAACCCAACAAATGGAAGAAATTGTAAGGTAAGAATTTTTGTTATCTAATTACCTTTAAGTGGGAACTGTTTGGGGGAGGGACTAGAAGTTCCAAAGGGAGATTATGTAAATAAGCAGCCCATCATGGGAAAGGGTTAATTTTGTTGTTTTTTGTTTGTTTTGTTTTGTTTACATTTAGTGGTTTATTATATCACTTCAGAAGCATTCAGTGCAAGCTAGAGTGTTTAGTGGTCAACCCAGCACTGCTTGCTTTTTCTTCTGATTGGTTTATCATATCCTTTATAATAAACCACTAAATGTAAACAAAGCATACAGATGAAGAGTTGCTCAGGGCCAGGTATTGGGGAAGGGTTGTGGAGCTTCCCTGCTCTTCCTGGGTATGCAACTCTCCAGAAACCTCTGGAAGCCCTCCCAACCCACTTCTCTTGTTTTTTTATGGAAGCTTCATGACATCAGCTTTCTTTACCCCAGTAGGACCCTCTCTGGGGAGGGCCTTAAGACTTACAATTAGAAAGGTGGGGGAAGAGTAGAGTCGTATCTTGGGGTGAAACGGGGGCAGGAGAAGGTCAAAAACCTGCCTCTGAGGCCGAGCACACCCAACATTATAACAAAAGACTGTAACAAGGGCTGTGGGAGTTATGAGCCAGGGACCATGGATGAAAGCTAATGTATATATCATAATGTCACAGGCCATCCCCTGGTTTTCAAACACAAATCCTTTACATCAAAAGAATAATATAATTCAGAAGATACTGCCACATTACTAGAATCCCATTCAGTTATTAATAATTAGTCCAGTCCATCATAGTGGATAAGTATCTCCCAGAGTAAGGTCACTCAGGTTTGCAGGCTTCTTATCAATCTTCTCAGATTCCAAAAGCAGCAATGGTCTCAGCAAATATACAGCTTCACTCTTTCAGGCATCTGGTATTATTGAGCTAAGAGACAATGTAATCTTTTGCTCTGAGCCTCCTTCAAGATTTCCCTGAACTTGTAACCCATTTATTCATTCATTTACCCTCATCTGTTATTTCTCCTTTTCTCCATTAATACCCAAACTTTTCCAGGAAAGAGTTAATTTAAAACACTTCACATTTCATCTGCTAGTAATTTGTGGCAGTAGCAAGTGAGGATGAAACAAATCCCATGAAATGATATCAAAATAGTTTAGTAAAATTATTTGTGTTTTTGTATTTCTTTTTCTAATAATACTAAGTAGTAATATTAAAAGGAAACATAGCTGCTTTTATTCACTCCTCATGCATTTAAACCCACGATGCTTAGTCTAGAATATGAAAAATGTTTTATATAATGTTTAACAAGTATAAATGCTATGCTCTTCTTCACTTCAAAATCATTCAGTGCAAGCTGGAGTGTTTACTGGTCAATCCAGAACGGCTTACTTACTTTTCTAATTTTTTTTTTTTCTTGGTTGGTTGTTTCAGATTGTTTTCCCTCAGTATCTGGGTTAATTTCTGGCTCCTAAATGAAAAGCTTTGTGTCAGTTCAAAGATATGCTGATGGGATATGATTACATTGTTACTTATGAGCGTAAACCTAATTTGGAATCAGTCTTGGAATCAGCTCTTGAGTTTCTAATCATATTTGACATTCTACCTCTTTTCTGGGGACATGTTCAGTTTGTACTGGCTGCATGAAATAGGTCACTAACAAAGAGATGAGCATTTTTAAATGAAATCCTCAAGACAAGTCAGCAAAAATGCCATACATTCACATTGATTCATATTTTTAATAAGCATTAACATAGGAGCATGTTCAGTAAACTCTGCAGCAAGACCTTTGTATGTGTAGGATCCCTGCTGAATAACTATGACTAGGTTCATTTTGATTTTTTTAGGGAAATAGTGAGAAATGTTTGGATACATAGTCTGAATTGCATTAATATGTGAAGGAAAATAGCAGTTACATTACTTCAGCCCCTAGAATGGTTGAAAAAAATGAACGATGTTCTCTACTAAAACAACCTGACCGAACTGATGAGTTATATTTTAATCTGAAGTTGTCATTATATCCCAATTTTACATGCCAATGTGAGCTAAAAGTATTTCTGTTTATTGTTAGAGGCACCACTGAGTGAAAAAGAACTATTTTAATAGCCCCTAAAATAGTTTTCACTTTGATTTTGGACTATCCATGGAGTATACTCCAAATATGACTGTATTGGTTCTCCTTGCTTCATTGCAGTTTTTTACAGTGTTTGGGTTTGCAGGTATCTTCATAAATGGTTCAGATTCTGTTTGGTTTGTATAGCTGTGTATGGATATTTCAGAAAAGTATAAGGAATAGCAACAAAATAATGGCTTTTTAACTTATCCGTAGAAGATTCTTATTTTGCTATCACTAAGAAGATCAATTTCCTTTCTAGTTATTCCTTGTCGTTTTATATCTCCTTTATGGAGAGAAATTCATACAGCAAGAAGACCTGGGCTTCAAGAAGTATGCAATGCAAGTAGTCAAGTTATACTGTGCAATCTTGCCTAGAAAAAGTACTAACATACCTTGTACATTGTGTTTTATAATTCAGTATAATTTTAATTGTGCAGAACTCATGCATTTATATGCAAATCATACTACAATTTATGTTTACATTGTGTTCTAATTATTTTCCCTTTCAAAGCTGTTTATTAACTTTGCTTTAAAATTTTAAAATTTCATCTTCTGCCACACATTTTTAAATCACTGCTTACTCTTTGATTTTGCTGAATTTTATGTTTAAAAATTTTGAAACTAGTGGCTTTGTGACTGTATTTACATGCATAATCATTTTTCTGAGCCACTAATCTTAAAGCAGGTTGTTACAGTAACTAACATCAGATTGGCCTAGGCAGCTTTTTTTCTTTTTCTTTTTTTTGTAGAGATGGAATCTCGCTCTCTCGCCAAGGCTGGAGTGCAGTGGCGCAATCTCGGCTCACTGCAACCTCTGCCTCCAGGGTTCAAAAAATTCCCCTGCCTTAGCCTCCTGAGTAACTGGGACTACAGGCGCACGCCACCACGCCTGGCTAATTTCTTTTGTATTCTAGTAAAGACGGGGTTTCTCCATGTTGCCCAGGCTGGTCTCGAACTCCTGAGCTCAGGCAATCCGCCCACCTCAGCCTCCCAAAGTACTAGCATTACAGGCTTGAGCCACCATGCCCGGCCCCTAGGAAGCTTTGTAGTAGCTGGGATTTTGTTTTTTTATGAAAGCAGTATTATAGCTATAGCTTAAGTACCTTCTGCTGAAGACACCATTTTAGAATCGAATTGAATTTTTAATATATTCAGTGCTTTATGGTTATTTTCTTTTTTTCCTAGACCTCTGGGTCCAGAGAGTCTCCTGCTTCGTGGAGCCAGATTAAAAAACACAAAAGAAATTTTTGGTTTGTACATATTTAAACATTTTAAATGATTGATTTGTGTTAATGCTTTATATGAAGTACTTCTAAAAGTACAACGTTTGTGGTCTTTTGGTTAGATAATTTATTAATTATCATTTATGACAATTTTCTTATAAAGTTTGTATTAAAGTAGTCGTGTATTATACTTTTGTTCTGTTGATGATCCCTGTTTTTTAATAGTATACTAGAACCATGCTCTTACGTTATCTTTATGGATACTTGTGAAACTGAGGGCAGATAATTTATATAACACTTCTAGTAATGGTGAGTGAGAACCAATATAATCTGGCATCATGGTACAGTAAACCACTTCTATAATTTCATTATGATTATTAGATTGGATTAATAACTGCAGATTTATTCATTCATATATTCATTCAAATTTCTTACTGATATCTGAATATATACTAGGTACTATTCGAACATACAAAGACTGAATCAAAAGGATGAATAAGTACTGCTCTTGCCTTGGAGATCTAAATTAATATAGTACACTCTGAGTCAACTATAAGCAAATTGTGAAGTTGATGATAACCTTTAGCTGTTAGCTAACTCCTCACATTTCAGGAATGGCCCTTAGTATCTTGGCCTACTGTGTTACCCACTGACTGTCTGCAGCTTGTGAGATCTTCTTTCTCATTTGCTCTTTTTCTGTTACCTGTACTATATCTTACCTCTCAGTGTTAGACTCTCTGAAAAAGAAGTCCATATATCGAGAAAAAAAGACCAAGCAGAAAATAGCAAGTGTTGGTGAGGACGTGGAGAAATTGGAACCCTTGTACATTGCTGATGGGAATGTAAAACGTTGCAGCTGCCTTGAAAAATAGTTTTGGCAGTTCTTCAATAAGTTAAACATAGAATTATATGACTCAGTGATCCCACACTACATGTATACCCAAAGTAACTGAAAATGAGTGTTCAAACAAAAACTCGTACAAGAATGTTCATAGCAGCACTAATGATGATAGCCAAAGGTTGGAAACAGCCCAATATTCATTAGATAATGAATGAATAAGCAAAATATAGTATATCCATATAATGGAATATTATTCAGCTATAAAAAGGAATGAAGTATTAATGCATGCTACAATATGGATGAACCTTGAAAATATTATGTTAAATGAAAGAAGCCAGACATAAAGGCCACATGTTGTGTGATTCCATTTATTTGAAATACCCAGAATAGGCAGATTCATAGAGACTGAAAACAGATTAGTGGTTTCCAGGGGCTGGGGAGTAGAGGAGAATGGGGAATGTTTGCTTAATGGGTACAGGGTTTCCTTTGGGGGTGATGAAAATATTCTCAAAATTATAAATGTACTAAGTGCCACTGAATTATACACTTTAAACTGGTAAATATGTATATTTTTCCACAATTAAAAAGAAATCCATAAGAATGTTCTAATAGCAGAAACTAGAGTAAACCTTCAGGGCTTTTAGCTCCTCTAATATAACACTGTACTTTAAAACTTTTTTTTTTTTTTTTTTTTTTTTTTGAGACAAGGTCTTACTCTGTTGCCCAGGCTGGAGTATAGTTACACGGTGTCGGCTCATTGCAACCTCTGCCTCCCGGGTTCAAGCGATCCTCCTGCCTCAGCCTCTCAAGTACCTGAGATACAGGCGTGTGCCACCATGCCCGGCTGATTTTTGTATTTTTAGTAGATCTTGTTGGCCAGGTTGGTCTTGAACTCCTGACCTCAAGTGATCCTCCCGCCGTGGCCTCCCAGACTGGTGGGATTACAGGCATGAGCCACTGCACCCGGCCTGAACCATTCTTATATATGAAACAAAAATCAACCATTTGTATATATTAATGGTCCAATATTCTTGCTATAAATTATTTTAAAATACTTATCGGTCCTTAAGCTTTAAAAAATTTAGAATTCTTGCTATCTCTACTCCAGCTATGATGAGGTAATGAATAAAAAATGTTTTCAAAATGGCAAGAATCTGGAGCACTTTGGATTTTGAGTTTGTGGATTAGGGATATTCAACCTGTAATTCAATCAAAGGGTATACAAGAATGTTTACTGTATCAACTGTCAACAAATAAACAGTAAGGCCTGCAAGATGACAGATATTGTTCTAGGTGCTTGAGATCCATCAGTGAACAACTACACAAAGATGCCTGCTCTACAGTTTACATTCTAGTGGGAGAGATGGTAAGCAAGGAACATAATAAAAAAGTAAATTACATAGTGTACTAGAAAATATTATGTATTATGAAAACAGAAAAGCAGAACAGAGTAAGAAGGATCAGGGAGCAGTACTAAGTAGTTAAGGTAGGCCTCACTGAGGAGGTGATTTAAGCAGACTTGAAGGTGTTACTCAAGCATCAGACAAGGGCTAGGTCTAGTGACCAGGTGGGAGTAGACATGGTATGTTCAAGGAAAAGTAAGGAGGTCAGTGTATGTGGAGGATGAGCTAGAGGGTGAAGGATAGCAAACAGGGCAGAGAAGAAAGGTCGAGGATGGGGGATGGGGGCAGATCTTAGAGATGGTTATAGAGATATGGGCTTTGACTCTAAGTGACACAGTGAGCCAGTACAGGGTTTGAGCAGAAGAGTCACATGATCTGACTTATATTAAAAAAGGAACACTATGACTGCTTTTGTGAGAACCAACTATAAAATAGCAGTAATCCAGGCAGGAGATGGTACTGGTTCAGACAAAACTAGGAAAAGATGGTCAGATTTTGGATGTATTTTGAAGGTAAGCCTTCAGAATGTTCTGATGGGTTGGGGTGAGATGTGAGTAAGGAGGTGAAGAAAGGTGAAGGGAGAGGAGATGTGAGAAGTCATGGCTGATTCCAAGGTTTCTGGCCTGAGCTACTGGAAGGATGGACTGTATCAACTGAGATGAGAAAGACCGCTGGTAGAAAAGCTTCCTTTCAGGAAGATTAGCAGTTTCGTTTTCAGCTTATTAATTTGAGATTTCTACTAAATATCCAGGTGGAACTGTGGAACAGGCAGCTGAAGTTTGGGAAAGAAGTCTGGGATAGAGAAATAAATCCGACAGTCAGCAGCACGTAGCTAGTCTTTAAAGCCAGGAGGTTGGGTGAGATCACCAAGGGAGTGAGGGTAGATAGTGAAAGGTATAGGTAGGGAAGGAAACAGTGCAAGTCCTGGGGCACTCTAAAAGAAAGAAGTCTGGGACAAGAGGAAAAATTAGCAAAGGAGACTGAGACAGAGGGAATAGTGAGGTAGGAGGTAAACCAAGAGACGGGAGTGTCCTGGAAGACAAGTTAGCAAATTGCATCAAAGAAGAGAAAGTAATGAACTATTCACCCACTAGATTTTGAATTGGTGAATTTTATTTGTAATAAGGTACCATACAGTATTTGTAATAGCAAAACAATGAAAAGAGTCAAGTATGGAAAGGTTGGGGAATGGTTAGGTTCTATCTAGTACATGCACTTGGACTATTCATAGCCATTTAAAATGATCATTAATTAAGCTTCCTGCAATATTTTTTAAAAAGTCAAGAATACCATTCAGTACAATGGAAAATACTTTTTAAAATCACAAAACCAATCCACATTCTTAAAGGAAATATTAGGCTGGGTGGGGTGGCTCACAACTGTAATCCCAGCACTTTGGGAGACCGAAGTGGGCGGATCATTTGAGGTCAGGAGTTTGATAACAGCCTGGCCAACGTGGTGAAACCCCATCTCTACTAAAAATACAAAAAAATTAACAGGGTGTGGTGGCACACGCCTATAATCCCAGCTACTTGGGAGGCTAAGGCAGGAGAATTGCTTGAGCCCAGGAGATGGGGGTTGCAGTGAGCTGAGACCGTGCCACTGTACTTCAGCCTCTCAAGTAGCTGAGATTACAGGCGTGTGCCACCATGCCTGGCTGATTTTTGTATTTTTAGTAGACCATGTTGGCCAGGTTGGTCTTGAACTCCTGACCTCAAGTGATCCTCCTGCCGTGGCCTCCCAAAGTGATGGGATTACAGGCATGAGCCACCGCACCTGGCCAACACATCTTTCTAGTAGTAACTTCGTCACTCCTGTTTACTTTAAAGTAAACCATAATGAATGGGGTCCAAATTTTGTACACTCTTAAAAGAAAATGTGGATTTGAATGCCTTTAGATGGGTCTGTCTTCTGTTGTTTTATCTCAGTACCACCTCTCCCTATTGGATCATTCTGGCTATTTTACCACATTTCTATAATCTATTTGAGTTGTAATAGCCTGCCTTTAAGGAATAAGTCAAGATAAAACTTCCAGGACAAGTATTTAGGAAGAGGGCATGAACGGTTCTATATTGCTTTTCAAATTGTACTATTTAGGGGTGGGAATGAACATTTATTGATCATCTCTCAGTTGTTAGGCATTTTGTTAATTTGTCATACAGACCTCACAATTCTATGAGGTATTTTTTCCCATTTAAAGATGGGAAGATTGAGACACAGAAATTACTTACCCGAGGATGTAGAACTAATAAGTGGCAGAGCTAGAATTCAAACCAAGGTCTAGCTGCAAAGATTTTTTATCAGCTGGTCTCACCTAATTCCATTTGTTGTCCAGTTTTAGTCCCATTACTACCATCATCTTTGCTCATCTCAAAGTCATTCAGTAGGCACACATTTTTTAAATAGCACTTTCCGTGTGCTTACTTGATTTACTCTGATAGACCTCCATATTATCTTGCCGATGCTTATGGAATAATGTCTAGACCCCTGATTCCAGCATTCAGGGCTTTTCACACTGTGGCCACAATCCGTTGACCCAACCTAACAGGAAGTGAGGTTTTCCATATCTGTCTTTGTTAACACTGCTCCATTTGTAATGGCCTTCCCTGACACTTTTATCTTTCTGGATTCTTTTCCTCTATCAATTCCAATTCAAGTAATACATTTTTCATTCAGATGTCTGTTACAACTCAGGAACAAGATCCATGCCCTCCCGCATTTAGCCAGTTGACTGGAGCTTCACAAAATTGGTCTCAGAAAGCCTTTTAAAACTCTGAAAACACTTAAAAAAAAGCAAAATTATAATAACTGTCAGGCAGTACACTAAAAGCTTTCATGCTGGTAAATATATTTATTTCTTGTGAAACATGCTAGAGGATTATTTTGAGACAATTTTGTTTTATTTTACAGGTGTTGCTATATACACTGGAATGGAAACTAAGATGGCATTAAATTACAAGAGCAAATCACAGAAACGATCTGCAGTAGAAAAGTAAGAAAACTGTTTTCATTTATTTATATGTAATTATAACTATACATTTTTTATTCATTTGGTATAAAATATTTATATAAAAATACATATATTAAGTAAACAGGATGATAACCTTGGGGACAGTGATCGTTTCTTATATTTTTACATACAAGTAACATTTTGCACAGTATTGAGCATATAGTAGATGCTCTATAGTATGACTTTTAAAATAAATACTATTGAATAAATGGTGGAAACACTTAATCAGACTAACGCTTCTGCAGATTACAGTTCTAAAACGGAAAAAAAAAAATTTTAAATAAACAACTATTTGAAAACATTGGAGACAAACCTGAATCAAATAGAAATGGGCAGGGAGTGTAATCCTGAAAGATGATAGCAGCAAGGGGGAAAATTTTAGAGTGTAGCTTTTTGCCTGAGGACACTCCCCAGTTTATGTGCTGCTTGGAACATCAAAAAGTCTGAACTTTACTGGATAGAAGTATCAGAGGACAAGGTTAATAGCTGGAAGAGCAGCTGGAAAGTTAGGGGAAAATAATGTAAGGGGATTAGCATTAATTCCCTTCTGTAAGCAATGAGAAGTAAGCTACAGAAGGGAATTAACTCTAAAAACTGCACATAAATTCTGCCCAAGTCCTTGGCTGACTGCTACAACTATGCATGTGCGAGGGAGACAAAGAACTCAACAGAGAATTTTACTGCTGCTCATTGCATTGGAGATACAGTTTGTTGAACCAGGTGAAATTAACTGCCTACTGGAATAAAAATTAGCACTCTTCTGAGGAACATAAAAGAATACAGACTGTCTAGAATGTATTATTTATAAAGTCCAGTCTGCAATAAAAAATAAGCAGAAGGTGAAGAAAATGTATTTCATCCATAAGAGAAAAAGCACTCAATAGAAACTCTCCAAAATGATCCAGATCTTGCGTTTAGCAGACAAGAACTTTAAAGCAGATACTATAAATTTATTATAAATATGTTCAAGGGCCTAAAGGAAAATTTGAATGAACATATGAGAAAACTCAGCAGATAAATGAAAACTCTTGACTTGAAAAACATAATTACTAAAATGGAAACATCATTAGGTGGGCTCAACACCAGACTGAATCAGTCAGACCAGTGAACTTGAAGAAAACACAAATTATTCAGTCGAAAAATGGAGAGGAAAAAATATTACGAAAAATGAACAGAGCTTCAGAGCCATGTGGGATAATATTAAGCTGTTTCGCATATGTGTAATTGATTCCCAAATAAAGAGAAAAAAGGACAGAATAAAAATATTTGAAACAATAATGTCTGAAAATTTCTAAAATTTGAGGAAAAAGTTTCAGTCTACACTACAAAGATCAGTAAACTCTAAGCAGGAAAAATGCAAAGAAAACCACCCCAAAGCACATGATAGTCAAAATACCAGAATCCAGAGAAAAAGAAAGTTTCAAGGAGCCAAAGAGAAATGCCTCACATGTAAGTGAATAACAATATGAGTGATAACCGGTTCTTATCAGAAACAACAGAGGACACTGGGGAAAGGACATCCTCTTCAGTAAGTGGTGCTAGGAAAATTGGATAGCTACATGCAGAAGAATGAAACTGGATCCCTGTCTTTCACCAAAGAAATAATCAACTCAAGGCTCAGTGCAGTGGCTCATACCTGTAATCCCAGCACTTTGGGAAACCAAGACAGGAGGATCACTTGAGGTCAGGAGTTCAAGACCAGCCTGGCCAACATGGTGAAACTTTGTCTCTACTAAAAATACAAAAATCAGCCAGGTATGGTGGCGTGTGCCTGTAGTCCCAGCTACTCAGGAGGCTGAGGCAGGAGAATTGCTTGAACCCAGAAGGCAGAGGTTGCAGTGAGCTGAGATCATGCCATGCACTCCAGCCTGGGCAACAGAGCGCGAGACTCCATCTCAAAAACAAAACAAAAAACAAAAGTGTATCAAAACCACGATGAGATGTCATCTTGCCAGCCAGAATGGCTGTTATTAAAAAGACAAAAATAAAAAAATAAACAATAGATGCTGACAAGGATATGGAGAAAAGGAAACTCTTATATGTGTTGGTGGGCATGTAAGTTAGGCTAGCCACTGTGGAAAACAGTCTGGAGATGTCTCCGAAAACTAAAAACATAATTACCATGTGGTCCAACAATCCCACTACTGGGTTTTATCCAAAGGAAGAGAAATCAGTATATCAAAGGAATATCTGCACTTGCATGTTTATTGCAGCACTATTCATAATAACAAAGGATTCAATCTAACAGTTCATCAGCAGATGGATGGATAAAAAAATGTATACATACCTACACAATGGAATACTGTTTGGCCGTAAGAAGAATGAAATCGTGTCATTAGCAGCAACATGGATGTAACTGAAGATCATTATGTTAAGTGATGCAAGCAAGCACAGAAAGACACTTCATTCATGGCACACACCTGTAATCCCAGCACCTTGGGAGGCCGAGGTGGGCGGATCACTTGAGGTCAGGAGTTCAAGACCAACCTGGGCAACATGGCAAAACCCTGTCTCTACTAAATATGCAAAATTAGCTGGGTGTGGTGGTGTGCGCCTGTAGTTCCAGCTGCTTGGGAGGCTGAGGCAGGAGAATTGCTTGAACCCAGGAGGCTGAGGTTACAGTGAGGCGAGATCGCACCACTGAACTCCAGCCTGGGTGACAGAGCGAGTCTCCATCTCAAAAAATAAAAAAAGACACTTTATTCATGTTTTTCAAAGAACCAACTTTTGGCTTTAATTTTGTGTATTTTTTTTCTCTTTTCCATTGGCTTCAGCTCACATCTTCTTAATTTCCTCTGTTTCTTCTCAGGTTGGGTCTCATTGTTCCTCTTTAACTTCTTATGGTGCCAGATGAACTCAAATGATTAATTTTAAGCTTTCTTTTTCTCTTATATAAACAGAGCACAAAAGATGATGAGGGGCTGTAAATGAACTGTTACAAAGGTCCTACATTTTACATGAAGTAATACAGTAGCATCTATAAATAAATTACAATAAGGTGAAGATGCATATTCTCATCTCTGGAGCTTCCATTAAAAACAATAAGGCAAGGATTTATAGGTAGTAAGTTAGAGCAACTGAATATTAAAATGTTTGATAAACACCGTAAACAGCTAGAAAGGAAGAACAGCGAAACAGAAAACCAAATGACACAAATAGAAAACAAATAGCAAAATGGTGGTCCTAAATTTGACCAAAAATTACATGAAATGTAAATGCATCAAACAGTCTAATGAAGTCAGAGATTGTCAGATTGGATAAAAGAGCCAGACCCAACTACATGCTGCCTAGAAGAAATATAGTTTACATATAAAGATATGAATAGGTTGACATCAAAAGATATACTGTGTATATTGTAAGCCTATGAAAACTGAAAACCAGAATAGTTCCATAATTATACGTGGAAAGTTCATCTAGAGAGATCATATGATGTGCCATAAAACAAATCCCAAAAGACTGAAATCATACAAAGTGTGTTCTTTGACAATGAGGGAATTGGATTAAAAATCAATAACAAAATCTGCAAATATTTTGAAATTAAAAAACAACTCTCTTAACTGACTCATGGGTCAAAGGAGAAATCACAAAGGAAATTTAAATTTCTTCAAATAGAATGGTAATTTAAACCCAACATATCTACATTTGCAGACTCAAGGAAAAGCCCAGCAGCTTAGAGGGAAATTTCTAGCTATAAAGTTGATAAATTCCTGCTGAGATTAACTGATTAAGCAAAAGAGAAACGGTATAAGAGAAGAAAAGTGAAAAATTACCAATGTCAGGGATGAAAGAGGGGATAGCTCCATAGAGCCTACACATATCCAAGGATAATAAGGAACTATTATGAACAACTTTATGTCACTGACTTTTACAACTTAGATGAAATGGGCAGATTCTTTGAAAACACAGGTAACTTACCAAATTGGCACAGGATGAAATAAAGTCTAAATAACCATAAGTCTGTCAAATAGCTTTAAGTTATTATTTTAAAAAGTCTGCACACTAAAGCTCTGCCTTTTCAACACATGGTGCTAGAACAGCTGGACGTCTGCATGTCAAAAATGGAATCTTCACCCTTACCTGTCTCCCACATACGCAAAAACTAACCCAAAGTGTAAGGTCTAAGCATAATAACTAAATCTGTAAAACATGGGAGAAAATCTTTGTGACCTTGGGTTAAGTAAAGATTTCTTAGATGGGAAATGTATGAAAAAGGAACCATGAAAATTGACAGCTTAAACTTCATCGAAATGAACTTAAAAAGGCACTGTTTATGTTATGAAGATGCCAGAAACTAAAATAAAAAATTTAAAAAGACAAGCCATAGATCAGAGAAAATGTCTGCAAAGCACATATCTTGTAAAGGACTTGTACCTAGAGTATCCAATCTCACTACTTTTTAACATTATTCTGGAAGCCTTATGCAGTGCAACAAGTTAAAGAATTTAAAAACCATAAGTACTAGAAAGCAAAAAGTAAAGTTGTCCTACTGGAAGACACATGATTTTTCATATAAACAGGCATAAGTATTCAACAAGAAAACTATAATAAGCAAGTTGGTCTCAGAATACAAGGTAAATAAAGAGAAATTTTTTTTTTTTTTTTTTTTTGAGACAGAGTCTCAGTCTGTCACTAGGCTGGAGTGCAGTGGCGTGATCTCGGCTCACTGCAACCTCCGCCTCCTGGGTTCAAGCAGTTCTCTTGCCTCAGCCTCCGGAGTAGCTGGGACTACAGGTGCGTGCCACAACACCCAGCTAATTTTTGTATTTTTTAGTAGAGATGGGGTTTCACCATGTTCGCCAGGATAGTCTTGATCTCTTGACCTCGTGGTCTGCCTGCCTCGGCCTCCCAAAGTGCTGGGTTTACAGGCATGAGCCCGTGTGCCCGGCTGATAAATCATTTTTATATCTATATAATAGTAAGAAACAGAAAATGAAATTTTAAAAAGTTATTTTTATAGTAGTGTCAAAAAGCATAATATATTTAGGAATAAGTTTTTTTTTAACTTGTGCAAGATTTCTATAATGAAAATTACAAAATGTGGCAAGAGAAATTAAGACCTAAATAAATGGAGAAATCACATTAATAGATTGTCAAGCTCAGTATTGTTAAGCTATCAATTACTGTATAGATTCCCTTAGTCTCAAAATCACAGCAATCTTTTTGTAGTAATTGACAAGGTAATACTAAAGTGTATATTGAAATGCAATAGCCAAAATGCATATTCAGATGCACAGCAAAAACAGTCTCTTTAAGAAAGCTAAAAGATTTACCTTACCTGATTTAATACTTAATATAAAGCTACAGTAATTACAGTGTGGTATTAACATAGAATAAAATAAAGAGTTGAGAAGTAGACCATTCATGTGTGGGTTTGTTGATTTTCAACCAAGCAACAAGTCAATTCAATAAAGAAGTTAGTATTTTCTACAAATGATGCAGCAGTTGGATATTCAAATGAGAAAAACATGAAACTTAGCTTCTACCTTATGCTGTACTCCAAAAAGTTTTGAAAATGAGTCATAGACCTAAATATAAAAGCTAAAATTATAAAACTTTTAGAAGAGCCGGGCATGGTGGCTCAGGCCAGTAATCCCAGCACTTTGGGAGGCCGAGACAGGCAGATCACCTGAGGTCGGGAGTTCGAGACCATCCTGACCAACATGGAGAAACCCTGTCTGTACTAAAAATGCAAAAATTAGCTGGGCATGGTGGCGAATGCTTGTAATCCCAGATACTTGGTAGGCTGAGGCAGGAGAATCACTTGAACCCTGGAGTCAGAGGTTATGGTGAGCCGAGATCATGCCATTGCACTCCAGCCTGGGCAACAAGAGCAAAACTCCATCTAAAACAACAAAACAAAACAAAAAACACTTTTAGAAGAAAACTTAGAAAGATATCTTTATGACTTAGAGTAGGTAAAGATTTCTTAGGATACAACAAATATAATAAAAAATTGATAAATTAGACTTTCTCAAAATTAAAAACTTCTGCTCATCAGGCTAAACATTTAAAGAAATGAACCTGCACATTACGAACTGGGAGACAATATTTGAAAACATATCTGACCAAAGACTTGTATCCTGAGTATATAATGATACATACGTCATTTGTGTACACACACACAAACACACATACACAAAAAGCTGCCTACAAATCGACAATGAAAAGAGAAACAAGCCAATTTTAAAAATGGGGAAAAGGTGGAAGGTAGACACTTAAATGGCCAATAAGCACATAAAGAAGTATACAGCATCATTGCTTATGAGAGAAATGCAAATCAAAACTACAAGGAGATACAAATGCATGACTTACTAGAATGGTAAAAATTGAAAAGACTAAATGTTCCCAGTACTGGTAAAGATTTGAAACAACTGGAACTTTTCTAAATAATCCAAGGGTCAAAGAAGAAATCTTAAAGAAAATTTTAAAAAATACTTGGATATCAGTGAAAATACAGTATATCAAAATTTGTGGGATACAGCTGAAGCAGTATAGGCATTTCTAGCACTAAATACTTACATTAGAACAGAAACATCAGTGGCAAAGGGAAATTAACATTTAAACCACAATGCCATTTACAGTTGCTCCCCAAAGAAAGAACAACCTAGGTACACATCTAACAAAATACATACAAATCTTTATGCTGAAAATCACAAAACACTGAGGAAAGAAATCAAAGATCTAAATAAATGGAACAATATATCATGTTCATGGGTTGAAAGACTCAGTAAAGATGCCAGTTTTCCCAAATCGATTAATAGGTATAATGCAATTTCTATAAAAATCTCAGCAAGTTTTTTTGTAGAAGTAGAAAATTTATTCAGAAATTTAGATAGAAAAGCAAAGGAACAGTTTTGAAAATGAAAAAGTGGGAAGAGTTGCTATTGATGTTAAGTCTTACTATATAAGCGACAGTAATCAAGACAATTTGGTGTTGGTGAAAGAATAGGTACATAGATCAGTGTTACACAATAGAGAACCCCAGAAACAGACCAACACAAATAGGCCCAGTTGATTTTTGGCAACAACACAAAAGCAATACAATAGAGGAAGGATAATCTTTTTCAACAAATGGTGCTAGAACAATTGGATATCCATGGTGCTAGAACAATTGGAAACAAACCCAAACCCCCACTGTGTGTAAAAATTAATTCAACTGCAGCATAGATTTAATGTAAAACATTAAGCTATAAAACTTTTAGAAGAAAACAGAATCTTCAGGACCTAGTGTTAGACAAAGAGCTAGAAGACATGACACTGAAAGTGTAATTCCTCAATCAAAAAAATTAATAAGTTGTAGTTAATCAAAGGTAAACACTTTGGTGCTGTGAAAAACCCTCTTAAAAGGATGAAAAGACAAGCTACAGACTGGGGAAAAATATTTGCAAACCACAAATCTTTCAGAGGCTTTACGTTTGGAAACATAAAGAGCTCTGAAACTCAACAGTAATTCAGTGATCCAATTAGAAAATGAGCAAAAGACATATTTCATATTTCACCAAATGCATAATACATATTTCACCAGAGAAAAGCTGCAGATGACAAGCACATGAAAAGATACTCAGCATCATTACCTATTTGAGAAAAGCAAATTAGAACCACATTGGGATATCACCACCCATTAGAATAGTTAAAATAAAAATAGTGATAAATACTAAATGGCTAGGAGGTGGAGAGACTGAATCTCTTATATGTTGTTGGTGGGAATTAAAAATAGTAAACCCACTCTGGAAGATAGTTTGGAAGTTTCTTATAAAACTAAGTGTGTTTACCATATGACCCAGCTGTTGCACTCTTGGGCATTTAACTCAGATAAATGAATTTTATGCTGTCACAAAAACTCAAGCAGAAATGTTCATAGCCACTTTATTTGTTACAGCAAAAAACAGGCAACAGCCCAATGTCCTAGAAATCTTTATTCAGCTTTTTTGCGTATCTGTTGCTGTAGTAGGTTTTCTGAGATATAATTCAATCTCTTTTTGGGGATTTCAATCAAGTTGAAAGTTTAATACACAGTAAAAAAATTAGGTAATAGGGGCTGTGGTACTAGTTTTAAATTTAAATAAGGGGAAGTTGAATGTAAACCAATGTAATTAGGATAGACTTTAGGAAGGAGATGGATTTTGAGTTAAATTTTGAAAAATAGGTTAATAATGTCAGGAAAAAGGAGAATATGTCTGATGAGGATAGACATGAGCAAAGAAAGATGGAAATAAACCAGGCATTTTGTTGCCACAAGGAGACATGACTAGTTTAGTGAAAAGAGGTCAAAATTTAGAGTCATACAGATGTAGATTTGAATGGCATATCCTTTCCTTACTAGCTCTGTGGGGCTTTGGACCAGTTTTTTTCTTCTCTTGATCCGAGTGTTCTCATGTATAAAAGTGCTAGCAGTACTGTAGGTGAAGTGCTGAATACTGTGCCTAACACACAATAACCAAACAAAAGCCAGTTCCTTTCTTATGTTCCTTATTTACTGTCACTGCAGAATATATAGAGTTTACATTGGAACATGGTGGAATCGACTTATTCCATAGGTAAGATTAGGTTAAATTATGGAAGGCCTAGGGAGAAAAATCAGAATTCAGGCATTTTTCAATCTTTTAAGGGTTTTTACAAAGCTTGTGATTTGCATTTTCCCTCAATATCTGTTGGATGTGAGAGTTCATTATAACATCGCTTGTTTTGTATACACTTGCATTTACAATGATGAGTTCCTTTAATTGTATTAATAATATATGTTTTTAAACTTAAAATCAAAGACATGTGACATTAGGCTTACCTAGTAAAGAGAAGAGGGATTCTGAAGTCAATTCCTGACTTGTGTGATTTGGGGAAATTTACAGAATTATTTTTGGGCTTCGGTCTTTGTCAGTTAAAAGTGTGTAATAATTTCCCCTTTAAGGGTTTTCATATAGATTAGGTAAGGTAGTAGATGTGACAAACATTTTATAAAATTTTAATGCTATACAAATGTTATTTTTAGCTATTACACTTAAGATGGGTGCTGAAAATGTGGGAAAAAAAAAACTTAGAATAATTACTTATGGCAAAAATAACTGACTTAAAACCGTCACTTACTATAAGCATTTTGAATGGTAACATGGCTATATTAAATAGGCTTGTAACCTGTGTGTATTGGTTCTTTTATTGCTAATAAATAAATTCTATTTAATGGTTATTTGTTGAAAACAAAAACTGTGTGTTTTAAAATAGCTACAGTAGTACCTTCTGTGCTTTAATATCCTCTCTAATACAAGTACTAATTTTCAAGCAGATGAATATAGTAATAAATGATTTGTATGTTTTATATTCTCTTTTTCTTCCTTTAGGTCAATGAATACATTTTTGATAATTTATCTAGTAATTCTTATATCTGAAGCTGTCATCAGCACTATCTTGAAGTATACATGGCAAACTGAAGAAAAATGGGATGAACCTTGGTATAACCAAAAAACAGAACATCAAAGAAATAGCAGTAAGGTATTTTATGGTGTTACTGACTGTGTCATAAAGGAAACTATTATTTGGCACAGTTAGTGCTTTGGTAGCGACTTCTGATAGGAGAGACCACTATAATCCTAAAATCGTTGGTACTGAAGGGTGACAAAAATGGCATTGCAGATGCAGAGAAGCCAGCGTGTTTGTACTGATAGCTTTTTGTAGTTTACGGCATAAAAAGTTGTATTCCCTATGGCTTGACTTGAATAGTTCAAAGAGGTCACAAAATTTTAAATCCGTCTATCTTTGCATTTCACATTAATAATACTACAAACTCAGTTTTCTCTTCCATTTACTATGTCTTATAAATGAATCAAAGAGTAAATGGATGTATTTTTCATTTTGTCTTAATAATTCAAGGATGCTTATTATCAGTCTTAATATGAACTAATATACAAATTATGTCGTATGTTTTAAATTGATTAAACATGGACTACCAAGAGAATTTAACCTATAATTTTGGTAAATAATTGTTCTCCAAATTTCACTTTAGATTAAAATCTATGTATTGGAAGACAAATTTGGATCTCAAGAGACTATAAAGCAAATAATCACAGGGTCATATTTTTAATATCATTCACAGTTAGGTACATTTCCTTTCACAAATGCATGTTGAAATATGAAGCCACTAAAGCCATTAAAATAGGCTATTCCTATGTAATCTGTACTTAAGAGTTTTAATTTCTAGCACTTTTAGCCTCACAATTATTTTATAACTTTGTAAAGTTACACTCAACTTTTAGTAGTTATCTGATTTTGAAGGGTAATAGTAGAATGGGATAAGTACACTCCAGATATTATAATTTTGCCAAAGGTAGTTTCAGTCATACCAGGCTTTTTGTTAGCTTCTGAAAGTAACAAATTAACTTATTTGAATTTAACCTTTTCATCATTTACTTCATCAAGATTCTAATGAGCAATACAATAACCAGAGGAAATGTAATGTTAGACAATTCAATAAATGGATTTCAATTCATGAGACTATTTACCTCAGAATATAGTTGATAGTCTATGTAGACATGAAACTTTCTGGTAATTTTCATCAATAATACTGAAGAAATTCTAGTGTATTTTTTCTTATCAAACAATTATTTCCTTTTTTCTAGATTCTGAGATTTATTTCAGACTTCCTTGCTTTTTTGGTTCTCTACAATTTCATCATTCCAATTTCATTATATGTGACAGTTGAAATGCAGAAATTTCTTGGATCATTTTTTATTGGCTGGGATCTTGATCTGTATCATGAAGAATCAGATCAGAAAGCTCAAGTCAATACTTCCGATCTGAACGAAGAGCTTGGACAGGTGAAAATGATCCTAATATTTTGTTTCTCTAATTTGTTATTGTTATCAAAGTAATACATGTGCAAAGATTAATTTAACAAGATATTATGACGCTTATACCTAAAACAACACTCCTTTGCTCCACTCCTAGCTGTTCCCAGTTTTTAAACCCTAAGTTGTTTCTTTTGTTATTTACCACTATATTTCTATTTGATATTCTTTCTTATTCTTGAGTTTTAGACATTATCTACTATGGAATATAAAGACATAGCTCTTACACTACTCTTCACACACACATACCCAGACACATATCCACTTTGCTTCTCCATAGCCCCCTAATATTATCATATCACAATTTGGGATTTAATAAATATTTTTATTAACATTATTACGATTGTTTTAATGTTGTTCACTAATTCTCAGTTCTATAGGTGTGTTCTATAATACCATAATTACATTTCCCTTCTTATATATTTTGTTTTCCCAAGAGTTAATTGCTCTGTTTTTTCATTTCCTTAATTTCCATATGCTACAAACAAGTCTCTGATAATATGTGCAGCATCTGTCTACATACTCAAACATATCAGGTAATCTAGGAGTTCCTTTCTTCCTCCCTGCCTTCCTTTTTTTTTTTTTTTTTTTTTTTTTTTTTTTGGTGACAGTGTTTTTGGAGGCTTCCACCTTTCTGCTTCAATTGGATTATTATTTTATTCTTTCTGGGCTTGCTTCTCAGCTGTCACTCTGGACTTCCTTTACCATCACCCTGGAAATTCCTTTACCTCTCTCCTGTTTTGGATCTCCTCTTTCTTGCATCCCATGTGCTTCCTACCTGTGGCTTATTGTCTTTTGGTGCTGTATATCTTCTAACAACTTCCTGAGAAAGGATGTGTGAGAGGAGAATGTTTTTAAACTTGACATATCTGAAAATATCTTTATTCTCTTTTCACACTTGATTAATAATTTAGCTGGTATTGCATCCCAGATTGAAATCTTCAGAAATTTTAAGGGATTTTATTGTTTTCTAGCCTCCAGTATTGCTGTTAGAGAAATCCAGTTCCATTCTGATTCCCAATTATTTATGTATGATCTGTTGTTTTATCTCTGGAAGCTTTAGGATCTCCTTATGCAATAGTTGTGAAATTCATGATGGTGTACCTTGGTGTTGGTTTTTCCTTTTTTATGTTTTGTTTCATTGGCAGTTAACTCTGTGAGTCTTTTCAGCCTAGAAACACATGTCCTTCAATTCTAGGAAATTTTCTTTTTTTTTTTTTTTTTTTGATAACGTGTCTTTCTGTGTTTCCCTTGTTTTGAAACTTAACTATTTGCATGTCATACCACTTATATTGACCCTTTAATTCTCTTCAATTTTCAGTTTTTATTTGTTTTTATAATTCTACTTTCTGGTAGAATGCCTCTGGTTTATCTTTTCAGTATCTTTAAATTTATTTCTGCTATAGTATTTTTAATTTCTAATATTTTGGTATTCTCTGGATAGTTTTTTAAAATTGCCTCTTATCCCATTCCTTGAACACAATCTATTCTTGTACCTCCCCTAGTATATTAATGACAGTCAATTGAAGTCTTCTTCTGCCCCCTGTATTATCTTTGCTTGTAGTGCATTTTCCAGAACAGTGAGTTCTGCTATAATGTGATATATGCATTCCTAAAATTCACTGCGTAATGCAAAATTGATTAGTTAAAGCCACAGGGTTTATGAGAGAATGGGATTGGGGTAGAACACAAAAACATTAATAATACTTTTTTTTTTTTTTTTTTTTGAGATGGAGTTTCACTCTGTGGCCCAGGCTGGAGTGCAGTGGCATAATCTCGGCTCACCACAACCTCCACCTCCCAGGTTCAAGCGATTCTCCTGCCTCAGCCTCCCGAGTAGCTAGGATTACTGGCATGCGCCACCACACCCGGCTAATTTTGTATTTTTAGTAGAGACGTGGTTTCTCCATATTGGTCAGGCTGGTCTCGAACTCCCAACCTCAGGTGATCCTCCCACCTCAGCCTCCCAAAGTGCTGGGATTACAGGCATGAGCCACTGCACCCAGCCTAATAATACATTTTTTAAAAGATAGGAACCTAATAAAAGCAGCACTTGCCAAATTGTTCATGAATACGCAAATACTGCAATAAATATGGCACTTATCCGAAAAGACCTGAAGTTTGCCTGTGGAAGATAGGCATCAGAAGGGTTGCAGCTTATGTGTTACTGTGAAGTGTTAGAAGGAAGGTTATCTGAAATCAGAGGGAAGGTTGTAATACCAGACGTGGATGAGTGTGACTCATAACACATGGTGAACTGAGATAGCTAGTAACTGAGGTTTGGGCAAAATTTGAGCAAAGTTTTGATTACGCTTAGATTGTCTCTCATTTTATCAGTTGCATCGGGATAAATTTGTGTTTTTCAAGACAGTGTTACAGCAGAACTGATTATAATTTGGTTCAGATTCTACCTTTTATGTAAGGAGTGATCCTCAAATGGATGCTAATCTTTGGCTATCATTTCAAGTGTAAAAGTGCTCTGTCCGGGAGGCTGAGGTGAGAGGATGACTTGAGCCCAGGAAGTCGAGGCTGCAGTGAGCCGTGATCACACCACTGCACTCCAGCCTGGGCAACAGAATGAGACCCTGTCTCAAAAATAAATAAATAAATAAACAAACAAACAAAAATGAAAGGCTGGGATCCCAGCACTTTGGGAGGCCAAGGAGGGTAGATCAGTTGAGCCCAGGAGTTCAAGACCAGCCTGACAAATATGGAGAAATCCCATCTCTACTAAAAATACAAAAATTAGCCAGGCGTGGTGGCGGGCACCTGCAGTCCCAGCCACTTGGGAACCTGAGACAGGAGAATCGCTTGAGCTCAGGAGATGGAGGTTGCAATGAGCCAAGATTGTGCCACTGCACTCCAGCCTGGGCAACAAGAGTGAAACCCTGTCTCAAAAAAAAAAAAAAAAAAAAAACAACAACAACAACAAAACAACACTAATATGCTTATCAGAAGCTATTGATTCAGTGGGCCACACCTTAAGGTAATGGGCTGACAGGCCCAGCAGGTAATATTTCTGCTGCTTATGACTGCTAGAATTGACCATTGGAAATCTGTTTTTAGTGTGCTGCCTTACTTCTGTGTTCAGCTGTCTGCGGAGACCAGATTCTGTCTGGTTCAGCTTACTAGCCTTCCAGCTGTTACTCCAATAAATGAGGGGCATTTTGAAGTTTGCAACTTTTAAAGAGATTTCAGAATTAAACTACTCCTGATAGCCTGTATTTTCAGCCTCATCCTGTACTCCCACATTCAGGGTTAGCTGGTAGGTCTACTTCCTGAGAGTTTCTGAGAATGGGTTTCCTCATCGCTTGGGTTTCAGATTCTTAATTCTGGTAAATCAGTTACCACTCATTCATCTCCTTTTCCATCTTCCAAACTTGTGTCAATCTTGCCTCTCATGTTGACTTTTTTACCATTTTTTTGTTCTTTTTCTATTTTTTTATCCTCATGGTGAAGTTTTAAGACAACCAGAGGTAATTAAATGTGCTCAACCTATCATATTTAACCACAAGTTGATGCATTTATTTTTAGTAACATTTAGGAGGCCTTAATAGTTTATGTTAAATATTAATTAATGTCACATTTCTTTAATTATGTATTATATATTTAAGGCCTAAAGGCCCATTTTTACTTTTCTGAATAAATTTTTTCCAATCTACCTTTGACCTTTCTTTCTCAACTCTCTTCACCTCCTTTTTCCTTCATGATAGAATTTTTGTTTTTCTGGAACTCCACATTGTGTAGGCATACTCATGTCTGCTTTGTCTTTTTTGTTTGTTTGTTTGTTTTTGTTTTTGTTTTTGAGACAGAGTCTTCCTCTGTCACCCAGAATCTCGGCTCACTGCAACCACCACCTTCCAGGTTCAAGCGATTCTCTCGCCTTAGCCTCCCAACTAGCTGGGATTATAGGCGCTTGCCACCATGCCTGGCTAATTTTTGTATTTTTAGTAGAGACAGGGTTTTGCCATTTGGCCAGGCTGGTCTCAAACTCCTGACCTCAGGTGATCCGCCTGCCTCGACCTCCCAAAGTGCTGGGATTACAGGTGTGAGCCACCGCGCCCGGCCTGCTTTGTCTTTAAGAAGCTTCTGGTGATTATTTCTTTAATTACTGATTTTCTCAGCCTCTCTTTTTGCTTTTGAAACTACAAGTATTTCATGTATGTGTATTGCCTCTATTCGTATTTTGTCTTTATACCAATGAAATCTACTTTATTTCATACTCTTCTATGCTCTTTCATTTCCATATTATCCAAAAAACAACGCTTAGGAAGGTTTACAGTGGTGACCTATTTATCACCAAAGTTAAAAGATTAAACTTCTTGATTTTATATATATATTTTTTTTTAATCAAAATTAATTTATTTTATCCATCCCTACCATCTAATCTTTTTTCTAAAGAATCTTCCATGACTGATAGGTCAGTCTGTATTCTAGTATCTAGTAACCTGTGGAGTATTATTTCTGTTTGACTGCTAATGTATCTTATATATTTTCTTTATAACTCATCCCTCATTCTTTCTAATCTACACTTGTGGGTGTTTTTTAATTAACTTGCATGGGGTCTTTATATCTACCTTTAACTTCCAACTCAACATTGCTATAGATACTGGGCAACATTTAATATCAAATAGTAAAGATAAGGTATTCTAGCTCTTATTTCCAGTTTCACCATTTATTTGCTTTTTGACTTTAGGTAAGTTATTTAACTTACCTAAAGTAATTTTCTGCCAAATTTATCTCTGCCTTTCTTTTTGGATATCTATCTTTTTATCCTGAAATTTTGCTGAACTTATGTATTCTATTTTTTTTAGTGGATATTTTAGAATTTTCTATATACAAATTCATATGTGCAAATGGAGATAGTTTTCCAATCATGTTAACTTTTATTTCCCTTTTCTTGCCTAATTGTCATGGCTAAAACCTTAAGTACAATGTTGAGTAAAAGTGACAAAAGCAGTCTTATTCCTGATTTTAGGAAGACAGCATGCAGTCTCTCTCCATAAAGTATGATGTTAGCTGTGAGTTTTTTATAGATACCCTTTATCAGGCTGAGGAAGTTCCTTTTTATTCCAGTTTGTTGAATGCCTTTATCATGAAGGGTATTGGATTTTTATCAAAAGCTTTTTTCTGCACCTATTTTGGTGGTTATTTTATTAATAAAATGAAGGCCAGGTACCATTTTATTAATATGATGGATTACGTTAATTTTTTAAAATGTTGAATCAATCTTGCAATTCTGGGATAAATTCCACATATTTGTAGTATATAACCCTTTTTATATCTTTCTGGATTTGATTTGCATCTCTTTATAAGGGATGTTGGTCTGTAGCTTGTTTCTTTTCTTGTGATTTCTACATCCCTTTTTAAAGGACTTCTTTCTCAAGTCATTATTGCAATAATCAGATTTTCATGATGATCCTAGTTGGATCAAGACTTGACTATTACATCCTTCTTTTGTCATGGACGTACCTTCTTTTAAAGTAATTTTTCTGGAATTAGCCTCCAAAAGTAATGAAATAATTTGTCTTACTTGCTTTTAAAAATATTTTCTTCTTTTACACATTCATTTTTTTCACTAAATTTGTTTTCTGTCCTCAGTTTCAACTTCTCTCTGTTTTAGACAATTCACACCTCTACCTTCTTGTATTGCAGTCGCTATCATTGTGTATTCCTATTCCCAGCCCTGCACTATTTCTCCTCACCCAGATACCCTTTCACATTCTTTGTTATTAAGCATCCTTTCTGCCTTGCTTTAGAGATAATTCTTGAGTCCTACTACTTAAAATACCTTAGCCAAGAAACAGAAAAGAAGCATTAATACCAAATTCTCGTCAATTCTAGAGATAAACATGTACATAAAAATGCCACAAACTTCAAAATCTGTGTAGCTTTAAACTATTTTGTGTTACCCTGTTTTCTTTCCTTGTCATCTTTTTTTTTTTAATTGTGCTTGGATTATAAGAATCTCAGCATCCATATATCAATATTAATAGATAAACTTGACTTCAGGAGAGCAAGGACAGAGATTTTTTTCTTGCTTAACATAGGTCCGTGAACACAAAGGTTTATTTTCTTTTGTTTGCTGTCTGTATAGGTAGAGTACGTGTTTACAGATAAAACTGGTACACTGACAGAAAATGAGATGCAGTTTCGGGAATGTTCAATTAATGGCATGAAATACCAAGAAATCAATGGTAGACTTGTACCCGAAGGACCAACCCCAGACTCTTCAGAAGGAAACTTATCTTATCTTAGTAGTTTATCCCATCTTAACAACTTATCCCATCTTACAACCAGTTCCTCTTTCAGAACCAGTCCTGAAAATGAAACTGAACTGGTAAGTAATTTTTAAATTAATAAATAAGGGTTTCATATGAAATAATTCTCTGCAGTAGTTGATGAGTTGCAGGAAAAAAAGTTTGTGTCAGTAGAGCAAGGAATATATATTTGAAATTCATATCAGACAGTTTAACTTGTCTGCCTTAGCTCTTTGAGTATTTAAATGGAACATAGTTAAGAAAAGCCCTTACTGCCTTGAAGTGAAGAAGACTTTCTTTGAAAAATAGAGCTTAAACTTATTTAATACTTTTTGAGACCTCACTTCTTCTATAAAAAAGCGTTCCCCTCTACTTGCAATTTGGTTGTACCTCCTAAAAAGATGCTCACATGTCGAAGGGTCCTAAGCAAATGTGACATTTTACTTTTTGAAGGCAGAAACAACCAACTATTATTCAGGCAATCAAGGTTGTAGCACTCTTGTTCTAGATCTTAGAATTTTGCCTCTGGTTTCCTAAATGGTATGTGGAAATGATATTTTTATCATGAATATGAATTACATTTTTACAGATTAAAGAACATGATCTCTTCTTTAAAGCAGTCAGTCTCTGTCACACTGTACAGATTAGCAATGTTCAGATTGACTGTATTGGTGATGGTCCCTGGCAATCCAACCTGGCACCCTCGCAGTTGGAGTACTATGCATCTTCACCAGATGAAAAGGCACTAGTAGAAGCTGCTGCAAGGTAATTTAGTCTGATTTCCAGATATTTGGAAAAACACCATTCAAATAAATGCAACAATATTAGAATCGTAATTTAAATTTTTCACACATAAATTCATCATTTTAAGTTGTCAGAATTCATATAAATACATAAAAATAGAAGTGCAATTTAAATTTTAAATGACAATTTGAAGTCATTTTATTATCAAGCTTGCATTCTTTTTTTTAAGATCTCTTTGAAAGTCTGATTACTATAAAAATCTGTGTAATAGAATTTATGAAAAATGCTTGTGTATATGTTGTACTACATCTACTCTGATCCTTCTAATCCTTCTAGTCCTTAAAAGTATATATGTGTGTATGTGTATATATATTCTTTTATATATATATAAAAGAATATAAGAATATATATAATACATATAAATGTGAATATATAATATATAAATGTGAATATATATAATATATAAATGTATATATAATATATATAAATGTGTGTGTGTCTGTGTGTGTGTGTGTATATATATATATTTTTTTTTGAGATGGAATCTCACTCTGTCACCCAGGCTGGAGTGCAGTGGCGTGATCTCAGCTCAGTGCAGCCTCTGGGGTTCAAGCCATTCTCCTGACTCAGAGTCCTGAGTAGCTGGGACTACAGTCACAGGGCACCACACCTGGCTAATTTTTGTATTTTTAGTAGAGATTGGGTTTCACCATGTTAGCCAGACTGGTCTTGAATTCCTAAACTCAGGTGATCAACCCGCTTTGGCCTCCCAAAGTACTGGGATAACAGGCATGAGCCACCACTCCTGGCACCAAAGTAGTGATATTAAAAGGAAATATTTTTAAATGCATTTTAAACTTTGATTTTAAACGTTTTTATTCAAGTTAAGCTATAGTGACATTGTGAAATATGCAGTATTATTTCTTAAGTCTCACTTTTTTATCCTTATAATGTCCAGGATTGGTATTGTGTTTATCGGCAATTCTGAAGAAACTATGGAAGTTAAAACACTTGGAAAACTGGAACGGTAATTTTTTTCATATATTAGAATGTTCTCTGTGTTAAGTGTATATAGTATAGAATAGGGATCAGTAAACTGTGGCTCACAGGGCAAATCTGGCCTATTTTCTGTTTTTCTACAGCCCACAAATCACATTGCTTTTTTTGTTTGTTTGTTTGTTTGTTTTTGTGACAGAATCTTGCTCTGTCACCCAGGCTGGAGTGCAGTGGCACGATCTTGGCTCACTGCAGCCTCCATCTCCCAGGTTCAAGTGATGCTTGTGCCTCAGCCTCCCAAGTAGCTGGGATTACAGGCATGCACCACTATGCCTGGCTAATTTTTGTATTTTTAGTGGAAATGTTGACCAGTATGGTCTGGAACTCCTAGCCTCAAGAGATCCACCTACCTTGGCCACCCAAAGTGCTGCGATTACAGGCATGATCCACCGCGCCTGGCCCACGTTACATTTTTAAAGGGTTGTTTTAAAAAGAGGTAAAATATGCAACAGAGACCATATATGGCCGCAAAGCCTGAAATATTTACTCTCTGGCCCTTTACAGAAAAAGTTACTGAACTCTGCTCTAGAATGATGTTAACATTATATTGTATCTCACCATAGTTATAACAATAGTCTGCTTTGAATATTTCATCTATATTTTAGCTTAATGATTCTTGAATTTACTTGTATGTTTATTTTTAGATGCTCCTGGGTAATGAGTTTTGTAGGTTTCTACTCAGTGAATAAAGAAAACTTTCCTGTGATTTTTATCTTTCAAACATGAAGGAACAGCTGTCTATATCTAGTTTTTCCATTCTTTGATAAATTAGTTCATGCTTAATATACTTACTCCTTTCATGGTTTTAGCAATTCTGATCATATGTCAATTCCAGCTGTGCTTTTCCAAACTATGCTTTTCCATACTAAATAGGGCCAATTCTTTGGCTACTTTTATGTGAGAGTCTGTCTAGCTTATTTCATCAACTTACAAACCATATTCAATCATTGTTTTTCTTTGAGATGTGTGAAGATATCATATGTAAATCACTGTGTAAGATTCATCTGGAATACTTTAAGCCACACCTCATGTAGCCACACAAATTCTTTTACAGCTCCCTAGAGAGGCATGAGGGAGTGGACCCCTGCACACACACACCCAGGTTCACAGTCACTGCTATAATGAGCCTTTGATATTAATGTGTGTTGTGTTCATCAGGTGTATTAGGACAGAAAAAAGCACTGAGAATCAGTTACCTTTTTCAGTCAGAAAAACATGGAGCTGGGCAGATGTGGATTCCAGTCTTTGCTCTGCCACTCACAAGCTTACGTGACTTTAGGCAAATTACTTAATCTTTCTGAGGTTAATAGTCCTCATCTATAAAAATGAGATAAGACCTACTTTCTTGGCTTCTCTTGGTTGTTAAACGACATAAGGTATGTAAAATACATGGCATTTGGTAATTACTCAGTGTTAGTCTCTTCTATTTCTTCCCTGTTTTGTTATTAATGTCATGTAACCTATCATGAAAATGTGATTAATTCTTGTTCTAAATTAGCCATTTTATCTTATATATGGATTATTTCCATATAGTCACTTCATATTATTTAAAAAAAGTAAAGTTTTTGTCTTTCTTACTTTTCTTTAGGTACAAACTGCTTCATATTCTGGAATTTGATTCAGATCGTAGGAGAATGAGTGTAATTGTTCAGGCACCTTCAGGTAACCAATCTAAACTTTCATGAATTTTTATTTATGTAATATTAAGAGTTTGATAACTCTTTTTTTTTTTTTTTTGTCTGTAGGTGAGAAGTTATTATTTGCTAAAGGAGCTGAGTCATCAATTCTCCCTAAATGTATAGGCGGAGAAATAGAAAAAACCAGAATTCATGTAGATGAATTTGCTTTGGTGAGTGCAAATTTCTATGATTTAAAAAACTCTAAAAGATATATTTATGAAAGATTTCAGACTTTATTTCTTATAATTTATCAAAAATTATGGAAATTCTGCAGTTGTGTTACACTGTATGTTGGCTCCACATTCCTTTTATGAAAACTGACTTTTAATGCTTTTAACGCAAGCTAAAATATATCTTCTCTTCAAACCTATTCTACAGTCAGGGCATTTCTGGTTGCAAAGTCTACTCAAACTACACTATTTTAAAAGAGTGTTTATTAAACAAACATAGGGGAATCCTAATGATGTGGAGAAACTGGAACCCTTATACACATATTGCTGGTAGAATTATAAATGGTACAGCCACATCAAAAAATAATTTGGCTAAGTTCCTCAAAAGGTAAACATCGAGTTACTATGTGACACAGCAGTTCTACTCCTGGGTGTACACCCAAGACAGCTGAAAACATGTCCACAAAAAAACTTATACACGAATGTTCATAAGCAGCATTATTTCCAATAGCCACAAAAATGGAAAACCCAAATGTCCAACTAATGAGTGGATAGGCAAAATGTGGTATATCCATATAATGGAATATCAGTTGGCTGTTAAGAGGAATGAAGTACCGATGTATGCTACAACATGGATGAATCTTGAAAAGATTATGCTGAGTGAAAGAGGCCATAAAAAAGGCTATATATTAATAATACATTTATATGAAATATCCAGAATAGGCAAATTCACAGAGAAAGCTGATTACTGATTGCCAAGGGCTGGAGAAAGGAGAAAAAGGAGAGTACTCGTGGGAGCAATGAGATATTGTGGATTTAGATAGTGGTGATAATTGCACAACTCTGTGAATATGTGATAAAACACTGATTTGTACTGTTTGAGAGGTGAATTTTATGGTATGTGAATTATATCTCTCTTATTTACAAAATTTAAAAATATAGGGAAATCTTATTAAAACAAAGAGCCATCAGTCATGTAAATAACAAAATTATTTTGCAGTTCTCTCTCAGTCTTAGAACTTCATGGTCTCTCATTTTTGCATTTCTGTAAATGTATACTCCACACTCACCTCTGCTCATCTGCCTTCTTTAACAGTTTATGATTTTTTTCCCATTATTTGTTTCCTAATTGTTTATGTTCCAGTTTATCCACCACATTGTAACATCTGTGAGAACAAAGACATGGTTCTGCCTTATCACCATTTTAATATTTAAAATAATGATGGCACATAGTTCGTGCTTAGTATTTGTTATAGAATGAATTCGTGTATTAATAACAGATGGTTCTTTATCAACTAAAAGAAGCACATTTATAGGTATGGGTCATTTATAAGTCAGGGAATGGCAATGTTTAGAAATCTGCTAAATAGGGCTGGGCGCAGTGGCTCACACCTATAATCCCAGCACTTTGGGAGGCCAAGGCCGGCAGATCACGAGGTCAGGAGATTGAGACCATCCTGGCTAACAGAGTGAAACCCCACCTGTAGTCCCAGCTACTTGGGAGGCTGAGGCAGGAGAATCGCTTGAACACAGGAGGCAGAAGTTGCAGTGAGCCAAGATCGCACCACTGCACTCCAGCCTGGGCAACAGAGCAAGACTCTGTCTCAAAAAAAAAAAAAAGGGGAAATCTGCTAAATAGTGTCATACAGTATTTTTAAGTCTATGCTTTCCAGGTTGTTGTTAGAATATTTATTATGGGGCTCAGCACAGTGACTCACGCCTATAATCCCAGCACTTTGGGATGCTGAGGCAGTATCACTTGTGACCAGGAGTTTGAGACCAGCCTGGGCAATGTAGCGAGACCCTGTCTCTACAAAAAAATAAAACATAGCCAGGCATGGTGGCACGTGTCTATAGACCTAGCTACTCAGGAGGCTGAGGCAGCAGGATCACTTGAGCCCAAGAGTTCAAGGCTATAGTAAGCCAAGATCATACCACTGCACCCCAGCCTAAGCAGCAGAGCAAGACCCTGTCTCTAAAAATAAAAAAGAATATTTATTATTGGTTTTCTTGAGGAAAATGCATGTAACAAGAAAAGGAACTTTTATAAGTCTTTAGATTTAGATATCAATTTTCAGAGATGAATACTATAAGAAAACTTTGAGGCCGGGCGCGGTGGCTCAAGCCTGTAATCCCAGCACTTTGGGAGGCCGAGACGGGCGGATCACGAGGTCAGGAGATCGAGACCATTCTGGCTAACACAGTGAAACCCCGTCTCTACTAAAAATACAAAAACTTAGCCGGGCGAGGTGGCGGGCGCCTGTAGTCCCAGCTACTAGGGAGGCTGAGGCAGGAGAATGGCGTAAACCCGGGAGGCGGAGCTTGCAGTGAGCTGAGATCCGGCCACTGCACTCCAGCCTGGGTGACAGAGCGAGACTCCGTCTCAAAAAAAAAAAAAAAAAAAGAAAACTTTGAGCCTGGTAGAACCAGATAATCAATTCTGATTCCAATTCACTGGTAAAGATATATTCCTTAAAATCATTTATTTGATAAATCTAAAAAGTATTTTTTATAATGGCCATTTTATTGACTTGTTTATTTGAAAGGCAAATTTTGTCATACAGTGAACCTTTAGGAGATTATGGTCTCCTTTGCTTTAGAAATTTTATGAAGTAGGTAAAAATGGAATTGTAAGTTAAAACAGGAAGGTAGAACCTACAGCTGTCTCTCTCTCGACAGCCTTGAAGGTATTAAGAACTTTCTGACTTTCCACGTACCACAGTTTAAAAACCACTAATAGGATAGTCTTTATGATCTATTCTAGGCTCTAATATTCTACAATTCAGTGACCTTAATTATTTTCAGCAACTTTTTATTTTTTATTTTTTATTTTTTTGAGACAGAGTCTCACTCTTTCGCCCAGGCTGGAGTGCAGTGGTGCTCTCTCGGCTCACCTCCCGGGTTCGCGCCATTCTCCTGCCTCAGCCTCCTGAGTAGCTGGGACTACAGGCGCCCACCACCATGCCCGGCTAATTTTTTGTATTTTTAGTAGAGATGGGGTTTCACCATGTTAGCCAGGATGGTCTCGATCTCCTGACCTCGTGATCCACCCACCTCGGCCTCCCAAAGTGCTGGCATTATAGGCGTGAGCCACTGTGCCTGGTCTATTTTGAGCAACTTTTTACAAAAACATCAGAAGTTGAAAGATGTATATGTGCCCCATGACTCAGATCAGTAGGGCTTTGTGACACTATTTATTTCCTGTCACTAAGTGATGGTACTTTTTAAATGATTTGTGATTGACTTTTGGTACTTGGTCCTCAGTGTATTTTGATAGTGACTTCTTGATTTTCTGTTAGTTGTTTGTGTTCAATTTTTGTCTTTAATTTTTGTTTGTTTCAGAAAGGGCTAAGAACTCTGTGTATAGCATATAGAAAATTTACATCAAAAGAGTATGAGGAAATAGATAAACGCATATTTGAAGCCAGGACTGCCTTGCAGCAGCGGGAAGAGAAATTAGCAGATGTTTTTCAGTTCATAGAGAAAGACCTGATATTACTTGGAGCCACAGCAGTAGAAGACAGGTAAGTATCAGATAAGTAAACAATATTATTTTTCTCTCGTAAGAATTTTTGTAACCAAGTGTTCTAATATGTGGCATAAATTCTCTTTACTAACATCCTATGATAAATTAATATATTTAAGATCAAAATAGAGAACTAAATTCTTAATTTTTCCCAGTCAGTATGTACAATTTTTGTTCTAGCCAGATATCTGAAATAGATGAAAGAAACCAGCTCTCTATAGTTTTTTCTTATAGGCTTGAATCTTTAGAATACTCCTCAGTGTGTCATGCAAACACTTGAACCACCTGCTGAATTCTCCAGCCTTCCTTCCTACCACTGTCTCCTTCTGCTTTATGTTTCAACAATACCAAACTGTCTCTGCATGCCATCTGTAGCTAAAACTATTCTGTTTTGTGCCTATGTTGGCCTTCTGCCTGGGTGATTCTTCCCTTCACCATCCCTCTGTGACTACCTATTCATAAAGTATAGCTTAGATATTAGGTCCACTCCAGTAAGACCTTTCCTGACACCTAAGAGGATTAAAAGTTCTCTTCTTTGTGAAGTCTCATTGTAGATAGTTCTGTTGTTGTCTTTGTGGCACTATATTTTAATTATTTGTTTAAAGACTTCTCCTCTGTTAACCTGTGAAATCCTTGAAGTCCATTTATTCTTTGTCTTTGTTCCCAGCACCTATCTCAATGTCTGTTTCACAGTTTCTTAAATTTAGCTGAATTCTGAGATTGAATCCTGCAGATTAAGACTGTTGTTATGTTTACCTCCACCACCTAGACCTAAGGGTGTTTGCATATTTTTAAAATCTAGGTTTTCATTTACTTTTTGGTTGTCCTTACGAGATTTCTGAGACTCACCTAAAGTTAGCTAGACCTTTATTTTCTACAGTCTGATTTTTGAACTATATGAGTGGTTTGCGTTTTTTTTTAATCAAAATAGAGAAAAATCTTCTTTTTTGAAATGTAAGACTTCCTAATAAAACAGGAGTTTATGAAGAGCACATAGTTTCATCCTATAAATAGCAGCTTTGAAGATACATTCTTAATATATGAAATTGTAGATTTGAATTGGTTGATTTTGTGTTAACCAATCACCAATCTGTTTATTCATGTTTCTTAATGAGAGGAAATTCCAGTTATATTGCTATGTTATGTAATAACATGCATAGGTCAAGGAGTTTAGAATTATCCTTAAATATACTATGTAGTTTAACTTAAAATACAGTCATAAAAGTATTCTCTACTACTAATTTGTTTCTTTTCAGACTACAAGATAAAGTTCGAGAAACTATTGAAGCATTGAGAATGGCTGGTATCAAAGTATGGGTACTTACTGGAGATAAACATGAAACAGCTGTTAGTGTGAGTTTATCATGTGGCCATTTTCATAGAACCATGAACATCCTTGAACTTATAAACCAGAAATCAGACAGCGAATGTGCTGAACAGTTGAGGCAGCTTGCCAGAAGGTAAGAATATAGGTAACTGTATCGTACCTTTCAGGGGTTAGCAAACTGTGGTTCCCTGGGCCCGATGATATAGCCCACTGTCTCTGCCTGTTTTTTACAGCCTGTCAGCTAAAAGTAGTTTTTACATTTTTTGATAGTTGAATAGAATTCCAAAGAATAATAATATTTCATGAAGTGAAAAGTATATGAAATTCAAATTCCAGTGTCTATAAAGTTTGATTGGAACACACTTTCATTTGTTTACGTATTATCAACGAGTGCTTTTACATTACAGCACCAGAATTGAGTAGTTGCAGCAGAGACTTTACAAAATACTTTTCTTCAACTTCACACTGCTGTTTGATACGCTGCAAATCACAGTGAGATAGATACATATAATGTGATAGTGTTTGGAGTGTCATGCATAGCACCATATCGCGACATTTTACCATTTTTTATTGTCAGTATATGGCCATCATGTCAAAACAAGAAAAGAAAAGTGGACTTTTAACATTACACTTTTTAAAAAAATCACTGTGGATAGGGGATTATTTTATTTTTGAATTAGATGGCAAAGCATTATTTATTATGCATTGATATGTTAGCTGTGCTACCTGTTTGAAAAGACATTTTCAAAGATGAATTATAAATCTCATTACATACAGTTCTATCGTATTGAAATATAAAAATCTCGTTACAGATAGGCATTAACAGATGAACATTTGCAATGTTAACTTTGAACCCCAGGTAAACAAAATATTATCCCTTGCCCAAAAGAAATATTTTCATTCCTCTCATTAGTAAACCTCTCTTATTTAAAAAATTATACTCAATGATCGCTACATCCTTAACTTAGTGAAAATTTTGTTGAGATTTTTTTCCTCTCATTCGATAACTACCTATATCCTCAATTTTGCCTCTTGGCCCACAAAACCTAAAATTGAAATATTTACTCTCTGGCCCATAACAGGAAACATTTGCCAACCCCTGATCTAGTTTACATGACCAAACTGGGAAATTAAGCTACATTTTACTGTTCAAGATTATTTCATAAGAATTTATACTCTAAATTCTGTCTTTTTTGTAAATCCATGCTTTATGGGTATATCAAAGTTTTGCCGCATATGGGGGCAAATGATGCCCCATTGAACACAGTCTGATTTTTCACAGTAAACTAGGGAGGGCTTCATTCGAGTCTCAGGGCTGCTTGCATGTAAGCATGTTAGGTCTCCTGCGGGTTTCTGTTGTTTGCTGTCTTGTGATACTAATCCAGAAAAATAAACACAGAGAGACAATACCGTAGTTGTTAATATACATTCAGTGTTTTATATTTCTATTTTTTATGCAGGCATTTATGTGATACCAAAGTCTGGATTTCATCTTTTTAAAACCTATTTAAGAGACATTTTTAAAAGACCATACAGGGTTATTTTGTTGTTGTTGTTGTTTGTTTGTTTGTTCGTTTGTTTTCTGAGACAGAGTTTCACTCTTGTTGCCCAAGCTGGAGTGCAGTGGCGCACTGGGTTCACCACAACCTCCGCCTTCAGGGTTCAAGTGATTCTCCTGCCTCAGCCTCCTGAGTAGCTGGGATTACAGGCATGCATCACCATGCCTGGCTAATTTTGTATTTTTAGTAGAGACGGAGTTTCTCCATATTGGTCAGGCTGGTCTCGAACACCCGACCTCAGGTGATCTGCCTGCCTCAGCCTCCCAGAGTGCTAGGATTATAGGTTATATTATATACAGGCCGCACCTGGCCTGTATAGGGCCTATTTAAAATATCTCTTAAATAGGGTCACACTGGATCTTTGAGTGCAAAAAGACAATTGATTTAGCTAATTATACTACAATTGGGGGACAATGTCAACAACATTGTGGCTCTTTAAACATTTAAATACTGCAATATCATGAACTCCCTAAAACACAGAAATTAATTGCTTAGAATCATTTACTTTATATATGCCTTTTTAAATACTTTTTCTGGCTGCGCACGGTGGCTCGTGCCTGTAATCCCAATACCCTGGGAGGCTGAGGTGGATCGCTTGAGCCCAGGAGTTTGAGATCAGCCTGGTCAATATAACAAGACCCTGTCCCCACAAAAAATTTAAAAATTATCCAGGTGTGTGGCGTGTACCTGTAGTCCCAGTTACTCTGGAAGCTGAGGCAAGAGGATCACTTGAGTCTAGAAGTTAAAGGCTACAGTGAACCGTGCTCTCACCTAAAAAATAAAAATAATTTTTAAAAAATTTTTCTGATTATAAAAATAATAAATATCTACTTAAAAAATGCTGAAAATTGTAAAGCTTATGCAGTGGTTAGTAACATAATAAAGTCATCAGAAGATTATTATTTGTAATTTAGGCTATTTAAGTCTTCTGTGTATAGGTGGTTTTAACGAATATGCTAATCATTAGTATTTGTTTTCTTTTTTGTACAAAAGCTGTATTATAAAATGAAGACTATACTCTTAAAGTGAATTTTAGGCTTGCCATCTTAGTCTGTTTGTGCTGCTGTAACAAAATACCTGAGACTAGGTAATTTATAAAGAACAGAAATTTATTTCTCACAATTCTGGAGGCTGGGAAGTTGAAGATCAAGGCACCAGCAAGTTGTATAGTGAGGGCTGCTCCCTGTTCCAAAATAGCGCCTTATTGCTGCATCCTTCTGAAGGGAGGATTGCTGTGTCCCCACATGGTGGAAGGGATGAAAGGCAAGAGAGGGCAAATCTCTGAAACCTCTTTTATCAGGGCATTAATCCCTTCATGAAGGCAAAGCCACTATGAGTTAATCACTTCCCGAAAGGCCCCGCTTCATAACAATGAGGGTTAACTCTCCACGTTAATTTTGGAAGGGATACGACATTCAAACCATAGCACTTGCTATGTGAAGTGTATGTTATATTTTGAAGATGCCTTTTGATGGAATACATTTTATGAGATAACCATAAAAGTCAATAGACCTATTCATTCAGACTTTCAGGAAGTATCTATTCTAAAAATCTTGATAAAAATCTTCTGTCGCACAAAGAATTTCGTACCTTTGAAAACTTTAGTATATATTTCCATTCTTTCACAAAGATATATTGTCACCTGTCTAGGCATTTGGAACAGAGACATAAGGTGTGTTGTTTACGCCCTGGATACTTACAGTGTGTGGGGAAAACAGAAAAGTAAATACACTGTCATAGTCCTATCCCTACAGAACTGTATCTGAGGCAAGAACAGAAGCTCTGGGAGGACAGAGGAGAGAAGCCTAGCCTAGACTAGGGGTACCAGGGAGAGCTCTGAACAACCAATGACTGTGTTGCCTCCTGTGGGGCCAAATGTTCACTGGACAGAGAGTGACACAAAGAAGCAAAGGGGAGGCTGAACACAGTGGCTCATAATCCTGATTTACAGGCACGGTGGCCAATAATCCCAGCACTTTGGGAGGCCAAGCCAGGCAGATCACTTGAGTCTAGAAGTTCAAGACCAGCCTGGGCAACATAGTGAAACCCCATCTCTACAAACAGTACAAAAATTAGATGTGTGTGGTGACACATACTTGTAGTCCCAGCTTCTTGGGAGGCTGAGGTGGGAGGATGGATTGAATCAGGGAGGTTAAGGCTGTAGTGAGTTGTGATCACATCACTGCGCTCCAACCTGGGTGACTGAGTTGCTGTGTCAGAAAAAGAAAGGCAGCAAAGGGGGCAGTGCATGCAGATTCCCAGAGCTGAGAGAGAGGAGGGCATATTCAAGGAAATAATTAGAAAGTATGGCCAGGGAGTGGTATAGATGGGACAGGGTATGAAGAGTAGTGATGCATGAGGGCTACAGAGATGAGTAAATGCTACCTATGTGCCAGAGATGTAGGTGCTTTTCCATATTTCTTAAATATTACTCCATGGATTGTAAGATCATAATGTGATTCATGAAGCCTGTCCAGAGGAAAACCTAATTGCATGTGCCTTGGGAACTTTTCCTAGGAAAACTAATCTCTGTCCCACTCTTGACTGCTAGCGTTTCTGAGGACTGTTGCTCAGGTAGTGCTTTGGACAGGCTGAAGACATTGGAGGCAGCACAAGTTGCCAAATAAAGTTTGGCCAATAGGGAAGAAAAGTAGTCTGTATAGGTGTTGATTTCAGATATTGGAGAATTAGTAATAATGAGAAAAATACATTTTATAAAACTTTATGGTGTAAAGTGAATTGCTTTATAGCTATAGTACAACACAACAGTGATTAGGCATACTATGAAAGACATTGCTTTAACTTACGAAAGTTTCTTATTATAAGACTAAAATCTATCAATGTATGTTTAGCTTTTATACTTTGTGCTCATTTAATAGTCTTCTCACTTCTTATTTTTAATTGGAAGGATAGTTCTCAGCAGAGTCTGCTATTCTGTGAACCTTTGGTGCTTTTCTGTGGTGTATATGGCACAGTGCTGCACTGAGTACTGGTTTTCAACAACATAAAGGAGCTTACATCAAAATGTAAATCTGCGTATACTTCCTTCATCAAGAAAGTGTTATTACCAAAGAATTGCAGGGGGAAGCAGTTTAATAAAATAGTGTGCTTAGTGATTTTGTTGATTTACATTCTGGTGTAGGCTCCTTATCTCTTCCTGGCAACAAATAGTTTGCCCACCTTCCAGCAGTGAGACTGTACTTGGAGTAGCATATGCCCACATGTGAGGTGTTATCCATCTTCTACCACAGTAATATCTGGCATTACAATCCATCATCGGTTTCCTATTGCAAGACAGTACTCTTCCTTCATTCTTTTCTTTGCTTGTTATCCGTGTGGTGAATCTTGCTCATGGGTTTTCCGGAACATCCTTGATTTCATATAGTTTTTTAAATTTTAATTAGGATTTGCTGAATGTTAAAACAATGTTTTGATTTTTGTAAGACTTTTCATACAATTTGGGAGAATATCCTCAGATTATGTATTACAATTCACATTTTAGAAAATATAATTACTGTACCTATATCAGTTCGTTGTAAAATTGAATATTAGGCGGGGCACAGTGGCTCACACCTGTAATCCCAGCACTTTGAGAGGCTGAGACAGGCGGATCGCTTGAGGTCAGGAGTTTGAGACCAGCCTGGGCAACATGGTGAAACCTCATCTCTACTAAAATAACAAAATTTAGCCAATCATGGTGGCTCATGCATATAGTCCCAGATAGGAAGCTGAAGTGAGAGAATCACTTAAGCCCAGGAGCTCAGGGCTGCAGTTAGCTGCTATACTCCAGCCTGGGTGACAGAGCAAGACCCTGTTTCAAAAAAAAAGAAAAATTGAATATTATCTGTTTTACTCATTAGTGACTCAATTCTGCTTAATTTTAAACTTAAGATAATAAAACAGTTTGTTTCCTGACATAACAGTCTTTTAACAGTAAAGGCTGTGGGTAAAAGATCCATCTTTCAGTAAGAATGTGTTGTTCTATATGAGTGTAAATATTACGGCTTCAAAGTATCTTACAGAGAATATAATTTTTTCTCTTTTAGAATTACAGAGGATCATGTGATTCAGCATGGGCTGGTAGTGGATGGGACCAGCCTATCTCTTGCACTCAGGGAGCATGAAAAATTATTTATGGAAGTTTGCAGAAATTGTTCAGCTGTATTATGCTGTCGTATGGCTCCACTGCAGAAAGCAAAAGTATGTATATGTGTTATAAAAAGTCCCTTAAAGCTATTTAGATATAAACATATTATTTAAAGTTAATACCTTACATAGTTCCATTTGGTGGTGTGCAATATATAAATTTTGCCAAGAGTCAGTCACATATTGTAAATTTTAACCATGCACATCAGACTTCTGGAATTCTTAGAGTTTCAACTATTCATAGTGACCCAGAAAACCTGTGATGAGTAGCAGTTTGTGATCTTGCAGAAATTAAACTGTGATAACTAATGTTTCCCAAGTTAGCTACTTAGCAAGTGAAGGAGCCTAGGAGACATCAGTTACTTGCACCTTTAGATGGTTCTGTTGATCTCCGTTTATTCTTGCATTCTCATGAAGTGATAATTCTCTGTTACTTTTGGCCGTAAAGTGATAAATAGAGCTTTAGTGTAAAAAGTTGAAAAGCCAATTAACTTGTAATATAAAGCTTATATATAGGAAATATTTAAATTTTAGCTACCTATGTGATTCAAGTGAAAGCCTGTACAAACATTTTTTATAATTCTAAATTTGGAATTTGTGGTCTTAGACTATTTTTCACAAATATCCTTTGCAATGCACATCTGAATACTGATTATTTCCCATATAGGTCTAATAAATTAGACATCCAATTTTTTGGGCTTCACGGAATTTTGTTACAGTACCGATATTATGACAATTCATGTACCCCAGTCTGTGGAGACTAAAACTGGAGACCAAACAGAGCAAATACCCAGGTTCTTTGTAAAAGTACATTTAAGAATGCCAAAGAAACATTTCTTTTGAGTTCATTGAATTTAATCTTGATTGATTTTTTAAAATTCTTAAAATTGTATTGCAAGAGGAAACAATTGTCTTCTTTCATATCAAATGAAAAAATAATTTCTTAAAAACATTTGCCTAACAGTTCAATTAAGTGCAGTCTTTTTTTACACTATTATTAAGCCTTCTAAATATTTAAGCTATATTTAAAAGATTCTTGTTTCTCATCATAAAATCCAAAGATAATTCTGTTTTTGTTATAACATTTCTGAAAGACATTTCTAAAATCTTAGTGGAGACGCCCTCAAAAAAATGAACCTCAGTGCATATTATTGTCTAATAGAAAATTAAATATTTATTTCATTAGTGTTCTTACTAGAGTCATTTCAGATAAATGATTATATAAATGCAAGAAAATTGAAATTGTGTCATAAATAACTAATTCATTATGTCTTTCAGGTAATAAGACTAATAAAAATATCACCTGAGAAACCTATAACATTGGCTGTTGGTGATGGTGCTAATGACGTAAGCATGATACAAGAAGCCCATGTTGGCATAGGTGATTGATTTTTCCTGAAAAGTTTTTCCTGAACTTTTAAAGTTGGTGGTATTACTTGGTGGTTTTGAATTTTCTTTTTGTAGATTAAAGTGCAGTATCAAATTTGTGAATGAAAACTAAATGCAACATGTTAATAATATAGCACAGTGTGCCCCATCAGAAACTTACTATAATTAAGCCCACTGGTTAGTATATTTTCATTCCAAATTTTAGTTTCAGATTTTAAAGGAAATAAATACTACATTAGTGAATTTTATCTTTGCCAATTCTTTTTCATAATAAAAGTAGCTTTATTTTTACATGCCATTTTGTACCTTTTAAAGTACTTTCACGAATGTTATTTTATCCTTTTTAAATTCTAAATTTGTGATTTACATAGTTGCACTTATAGTTCTTGTTTTAGAATCTTACTGTTAACTCCGTTTATTTGTGAATCTAAAGATCCTACAGTCCTTTTTAAAGGTAATTATAAAGACAGGAAATTGCACCAAACTGCAATAAAAATATAAAATCTCAAGTAGTTTTCTCATTTTAATAACCTTTATCCTTATTCTTTTCTATTTTTGCCTAAAACTTTTATTAGATTCAGACTGCTAGTATCATTTCATTATATTTAATGTATTAATCCTTTCCTTTTTAGCCATAGAATCTTATTGTAGAAATACAGAGCAAAATGAAAAGTATGGGCGTGGTATTTTTTATGGAAGGATAAAATTTGACAGTTAAGCTAATTCCTGTTCTGGAATAGTCTCTATAATGTGCTGAATGGGTAGTTATCAGGTCTGATATTTTCTGTGTGCCTCTCAAATCAACTCCTTCCTCTTTCAGATAATTAACTCTTCATTTTGAAAACTTAATTGTCCTTCTAGTTTGTATACCGTTATTTTCTGTAAATCTTCATAGCAATTTGATGATAACTTCCTATACCATACATTTAAAGCCATAAAAAAACTACAGTATTTATAACAGTTTGATTCTGTAATGATAACAGGCAGACCAGTGACTAGAATACATTCAAGCATCTGGAAGTTTAGAATATAACAAAGGAGATATTTCATATAAGTAGGAAACCAAATTATTTAGTAAAAAAATAAATGGATAAAACTGATTAGTGATTGGAAAAAAAAGAAAAGTTGAGTCTCTTTCTATTACTTATAACAAAACAAATTCAAGATGGATTAGGATTTAAATCACTTACAAAGACCCTAAAAAGTAATAGAAGAAAATTTAATGAATAATTCTGTTATTTGAGGTGTGGAAGAATCTTTTGAGGACAGCACTAAAGCAAGGAACTATAGTTAACTATAGGGAAAAGATCATGCAGAGGTAAAAGCTCCCAAAACAAATTTTAAAAACAAAGGACAAACTCGTAAAGAATATTTGTAAAATAGATGACAAAGTTTTAATAATCCTGGTCTAAAAAGTGTTAACAAATTAATGAGAATAAGAAAAACATTCCAGTAGAAATAATGCGGAAGGATGTGAGCAATCAATTGTCACAAAAGGAGAAATCTAAAAAGAATACTAAATGTATGAAAAAAAAGTTTAGTGTCTCTAACATTCCGAGGAATGGAAGTTAAAATTTCCTATCAGATTGACATCCGTTATAAACATTGATAAACCTGGAGTTGGTAAAGGTATAGATTAACAAATGGTCTTATACAATGTTAGTGGGAACATAAATTGGTAAGCCCTGCATCATTATTCAAAACAAAATTTTAAATGTATGCCTATTGACATTGCAATTATGCATGCAGGAATTTCTTGTAGGAAAAAAAATTGAGCGTGTTCATAAAGATATACATTACAAGTATACATTTTAAGCAGTGTCCGTCGTCTGTTAAGCAACAAAAACAAGTTGTAAAACAATCCTTTTTTTTTTTTTTTTTTTGGTATAGAGCTTCGCTTTTATTTCCCAAGCTGGAGTGCAATAGCCCAATCTTGGCTCATGGCACCTCCATCTCCTGGATTCAAGCGATTCTCTGGCCTCAGCCTCCTAAGTAGCTGGGATTACAGGTGCCCACCACCATGCCCAACTAATTTTTGTATTTTTGTAGAGATGGGGTTTCACCATTTTGGCCAGGCTTGTCTTGAACTCCTGACCTCAGGTGATCCACCTGCCTTGGCCTCCCAAAGTGCTGGGATCCTACAGACTTGAGCCACCGCACCCAGCCTGAGCCACATTTTATTGTATGTATGAAATACATACACACACAGACATGAAATAAGCAGAAAGAAAATTTCTAAAAGAATGCAGACTAAAAACGGGTTTTCTCTAGGGATTATGAATACAGTTTTTTTTTTT